AAAGTATTTGAGTTTCATCTTCAGTATCTGGCCTTCTAAAGAGCAATCAGGGTTGATCTCCTCTAGGACTGACTGGTTTGATTGCCTTGCAGTCCAAGGGACTCACAGGAGTCTCCTCCAACACCTCAATTCTTCGGTGCTCAGCCTTTCTTATGGTCCAGCTTTCACAGCCATACATTGCAACTGGGAAAACCATAGCCTTGACTATAGCACTTTTGTTGTCAGGGTGAAGTCTCTGCTTTTTAGTGAGCTATCTAGATTTGCCATAGTTTTCCTCCCCAGGAGCAAGCGTCTTTTAATTTCTTGGCTGCAGTCCCTGTCTGGCTGCGGTGATCTTGGAGCCCAGGAAAATAAAATCTGTCACAACCTCCATTTCTTCTTCATCTCTCATTTGGAGAGATCAGGGTTCATATTTACATTCCACTAGGAAGCTTACCTTCATCCAGGAAATAATCCATGGTGAGCTGTTTGTTCACTGAACAGCCCGCAGTGGACTGAACAGATGATTGGGCTTGCCATGAGTTGTTCTTTCTCCCTCAGTTCTGCAACTTGCTCCATCCCAGTCTCCTTTGCAGGAGAACCTGCCTTTTTCTCCCCATCCCTGCTCCAATCACTGTCCTTTCTCATTAACTACCATTCAATAAACAAACAAACAAAACTTCAGAGCTTCAAAAAAGGACAATTGCAGGTCATTTTTTCAGCCCCCCAAAATGATGCATTACATGCATGCATGCACTTACGCATGCACACACACCCTGTCTACCCAAGGGGGTAGGTGCATACGTGAGATATGTGCAGTCTTGCCTGATCAATTACCTTGTCCGTTTCAGCTTTCAAAGGGAGGACAAGGCAAGACTGCACGTAGGCCAGTTTCCCACAGTTATTAGCTGTCATTTGCCTAGTCAATTGAAAGGCACTGATAAACAGGGAAAAGGTGGGGAAATTAAGTACACTAGTAGCAGTAGCAGCACTATTGCCCACTTAGCAATGTAATCCTCTTGAACTGAATCTTCAGACTGACAGTTCTCCCTACCTTCCACCTTTTCAACACCTTCCCAGGTCTCCCCCACTGCTCCAGAAACGGGAGATACTCCCCATGTATGTACATCCCTTTACGCAATGCCTTTTCAGTGCACTTCCTGCAGCAGTTACTGTGCTTCCCCAACCATTCTAAAAACTCTCACGGCAACTTTAATAGCTGGGAAGTAAATGGAGAGGAAATTTGTACACCTGCATTAACTACTTTAGAAAATGCAGTTGAACAGAAGCCAACCAGACAGGCAATTGAATTGTACTTTGATGCTTGCAATAGGATGGCATCTTCACCCACAGGTGAGGGCAGCAGGCTAGCTCGGGAGCTGCATCTTGCCGCCTTGTAGCATTTGGTACCTCACCTCACTCTGCCTAATGGAAGAGACAGCCCTGTCTTGGAAAACAGGGAGAGTGGGTTTAGAATGTAACACTGCTTATAATACTTTAGCAGTGTTAAACTATAATCACAGTCCACAAAATGTGATTACTAAATATTTGCAGTTATTTATTTTATGTTACTATATCCCATTCTTAGTACAAGAACTTTTGTTTTTAAAATAGTTCTAAAAATACTACACAGAAAGCAATAATTGCACAAAAACAGCAACCCAACTACATAAAAACCATATACAGCTCCAGAATACCCCCCCCCCCCCCCAAAGTTATGCTGAAAAACCCTGGCAAAGAAAAAGGTCTTTATATACCCAGGCAGGTGGGTTGGTGCTAGGGGCTAGTCCACTGTAGAACAGGCCTTTTCCCACAGCCACCATATGCCTCTCTTCAGGAGGCAAGAGAACTCAAAGAAAAGCCTCCCAAGAGGCTTTAATAAATATAGAAACATAACGAGTCAGAAGGGGCCTCCCAGGCCATCTAGTTTGACCCACAGCTCCAGCCGGCTCCGTTCATGTAATACCCAACATGTGGTTGTCCACTCTTTCCTTGAATGCCCTCACTGATGGGCCCTCAACCACCTCCCTTGGAAGCCCATTCCATATCCTAGGGGTCCTAACTGTCAGGAAATATTTCCTGATATCTAACCTGAAACCCAGTTCCTTGAGCTTCACCCCACTGGAATGCATCCTTTCAGGTCACAATTCTCTACTGTGTGACACCCCTTCACGTTCTTATATATCACTATAAGATCCTCTCTAAGTTTCCTCTTCTCTAGGCTGAAAAGACCCAGCTCCCTCAGTCTCTTCTCATATGTCATCTCCACAGTTCAGCTACCATTCTTGTAACCCTGTGCTGAACTGATTCTAACCTAACTATGTCTCTTTAATAATGTGGAGTCCGGAATTGGACACAGTACTCCAGTTGTGGGTACACCAGAGTCTTATAGAGTAGTACTAACACTTCTCTCGATCTGGAAACCATGCTTCTGGCTATACATCCAAGGATGACATTCTCTCTCTTAACCACAAGATCATACTGCTAGTTTATGTTTAACCTGCTCTCGACAAGTAATTTGGGCTTACTCATAAGGAGAATCATAGAATAGTAGAGTTGGAAGGGGCCGTGAAGGCCATCAGGTCTAATCCACCGCTGTTGCAGGACACCAATTCCTTCCTTCCTTCCTTCCTTCCTTCCTTCCTTCCTTCCTTCCTTCCAGACATTTATATCCTGTCCTATCACCAAGCGCTCAGAACAGCTTACAAAATATAAAAGTACAATATAAAATTAAAAAATACAATATAAAACACATCATGAACTTAAGAAAAAGGAGGAAAAAATAGAAAGTGTGACTGTGAGGGAAAATCCTAAAACATCTAAAACCATTTGGTAACACGCTTACGAGCTCATTATCGGACCTATGCTGCAGCAGTGAGGGCGGTAAAGAAGAAATTCTTCTCCACTTCCATTACCTCCTCACAGTGCCATCCAGCAGAGCTCTTTTGAGTGGTACGTGGGCTAATAACATCCTGGCCCTAAGAAAGATCCCGTACCACCCTTGATGGCCTGCTGTGACAACTTTGCCCAGCACTTTAAGGAGAAAATTGCTCAGATTCGTCATGAGCTGGACTCCACAAATGATTCAGATCCTCTAGGGGAGGTGCCAATGACTCCATTCGGTCAGATATTATTGGATGAATTTCAGTTATTGCGGCGTGATGATGTGGACAAGGTGCTTGGAAAAGTACGTCCCACCACCTGTTTACTTGACCCTTGCCCGTCATGGCTGCTGACCAAAGCCAAACAAGGGATTGGTGCCTGGATCCTGGAGGTCATTAATGCCCCTCTGAGGGACGGCCAGGTGCCTGCCCCTTTAAAGGAGGCGGTAGTCAGGCCGGTCCTAAAGAAGACGTCCCTGGATCCAGAGATGGCCGCCAATTAATTAATTAAAATAATGATGGAATAAAAAGGTCTTTACCCTGCGCCAGAAAAAGTATAACGTGGGTGCCAGGCAGACCTCTCTGGGGAGCAGATTCCATAGTCTGGGCACCACTGTGGAGAAGGCCCTCCTCTGGATGGACACCCTCTGTACTTGCTTCAGAGAGGGTTCCCGGAGGAAGGACTCTCCTGCTGATCTTAAGGGGCATGAAGACTTGTACGGAAGGAGGCAATACTTCAGTTATTCTGGACCTAAGCTGTTTAGGGCTTTATAGGTTAATACCAGCACCTTGAAGTGGGCCTGGACTTCAACTGGGAGCCAGTGTAGCTGATAAAGGACCAGCGTTATATGAGAATAACTACCAGTCCCTGTCAGCAACATGGCAGCTCTGTTTTGTACCAATTGAAGGATCCAGACCATTTTCAAGGGCAGCCCCACATACAGCGCATTACAGTAATCCAACCAGGAAGTTACCAGGGCATGAATCACCATTGCTAGGCAGTGCTCGCCCAGGTAAGGACGCAGCTGTTGGATCAACTGAAGCTGAAGGAAAGCACTTCTCACCACCATTGTCACCTGGATTTCCAGGGACAGCTCTGGGCCAAGGAGCACTCCCAAGCTGCAGACCCTGTCCTTTAGAGGGAGTGCTACCCTATCCAGGACAGGACCAAAGTCACTTACCTGAAAACCCGAACTGCCCACCAAAAGGACCTCCGTCTTATGTGGATTGAGTCTCAGTTTATTGGCCCTCATCCAGCCCATTAATTCGGCCAGGCACTGGTTCAGAACAGCCACCTGGATTATATGTAAACGAGAGGTAGAGCTGGATGTCATCAGCAAACTGATGACTCCGCAGCCCAAACTTCCTGATGACCTCTCCCAGCAGTTTCATGTAGATATTAAAAAGCATGAGAGACAAAATAGAGCCCTGCGGTATTCCATGACATAACTACCATGCCACAGAGCTATAGTCCCCCAGCACCACCTTCTGGAATCAACCAGCCAGAGAAGAGCAGAACCACTGCCAAGCAGAGCCCCCAACTCCTAACCCGGCCAGCCTATCCAGAAGGATACCATGGTCTATGGTATCAAAAGCTGCTGAGAGGTCCAGGGGAACCAACAGGGGTGCACTCCCCTGTCCCTCTCCCTGCTTAGGTCATTGTACAGGGCGACCAAGGCAGAATCTGTACTGTAACCAGCTCTGAAGCTGGACTGAAATGGGTCCAGATAATCCGTTTCATCCAAGAGTGCCTGGAACTGTCCCACCACCACCTGCTCCAACTCCTTGCCTAAAATGGGATGTTGGCCACCGGTCTATAATTGGCGTCCACCTCTGGGTCCAGGGATGCCTTCTTCAGGATGGGCCTGATTACTGCCTCCTTTAAAGGGGCAGGGACCCGGCCCTCTTCAGTGAGGCATTGATGACCTCTTGGACCCAGGGACCAATCCCGTGGCTGGCTTTCATAAGTAGCCAAGAAGGGCAAGGGTCAAGTAAGCAGGTGGTTGGGTGTACCATCCCAAACATCTTGTCCATTTCCTCAGGCTGCAGTAACTGAAACTCATCCAACAATGATGGACCAGACGGTGCTCTGGATGCCTCCCGTTCTGGAATCAGATCAACTGTGTGGTCCAGCTCATGGCGAAGCTGAGCAATTTTCCCCTTACAGTGCTGGGCAAAGTTGTCACAATGGGCAGTTGAGGGTGGCACCATGTCTTTGTTTTGGCCAGCATATGTTAGGCCACGCAACACTCGAAAAAGCTCCACTGGACGGCACTGTGAGGAAGCAATGGAAGTGGAGAAGTATTGCCTCTTTGCCGCCCTCACTGCCACAGCATAGGCTCAGTAATGAGCATATAAGTGTGTTCGGTCAGATTCCTCCTGTGATTTTTTCTACCTGCACTCTAATCGTCTCCCAATCTGCTTCATCGCTCGCAACTTATTTGTAAGCTGCCCCGAGGCTTCGGCAAATGGGGTGGCATAGAAATTTTCTAAATAAATAAACTCCAGCGTATACCATGGTGACAAGTGGGCTCTGCTAGCCGGGAGAGGACGCTTATGAGCAATCGTGTCGATTGCCCTGGTCATTTCCCTGTTCCACAAATTGACCAGGACATCAACAGGAGCACCAGCTTTATCTGCGAAAAAATCCCCTAGAGCCCTCAGGAATCCCTCAGGATCCATAAGACTCCAGGGGCAGACCATTTTAATAAGATCCACACCCTTCCAGAGGGAGAGATCAACTCCGAGCTCAAACTTCATGAGGAAGTGATCTGACCATGGCAAAGGAGTTAAGGTCATATTCCTCACTTCCAGATTACCCTCTTCCTGCCCTGTTGAGAAAACCAGGTCCAGAGTGTGACCTCTTTCATAGATTGGGCCAATGACATGTTGAGACAGCCCCATGGATGCCATGAAGTCCTGAGCTGCCCCAGACAGAACAGCCTTGGCATGGAAATTGAAGTCCCCCAGAACCAACATCCTGGGGGTCCTCAGTACCATGTCCGAGACAATCTCCATCAGCTCAGGCAGGGAGTCTGATGGGCAGGTGGGTGTGCGGTACACCAGCAGAATCCCTAATCTGTCTCAGTCACCCAACACCAGGTACAAACACTCTAGGCCTGGTCTCGAAGGGACAGGAAGGCCCACAAGGCAAACTGAGTCTCAGTAAACCAGAGCGACCCCCTCTCCCCTCCCCTCTGGGCGTGGCCAGTGCTGGATTAGGTATCTGGGTGGGCAGAGTTGAGTAAGGGAGACATCTCCCCCTCTCCCTCCCAGGTCTCCGTTATACATGCCAGGTCAGCCCCCTCATCCACAATTCAATCGTCGATGAGGGATGTTTTATTATGGACTGACCTGGCATTCAATAACAGCACCATCAGGCCCAGGGGGAGGCGGATATCGCTCCCAGTAACCTTATGGCTGGGGGAATAACCAGAAGAGGGGACAGATATTAAACATCGGTTCCTCCTTCCTCTGTACTGACTCGTTAGACCCCCAATGCCAGATCTTCCCCTGCCCATCACCACCCCAACAGTGGTACCCACATGCTCCCCAGGCACTACCATCCTAATTAAAGTCTAATAGGAATAAAACACAGTCGCAGCAAAGAAAAGAAGAAGGAAGGAAAATGGACAGCATCCCCAGCCCGGCCGCCTACAGCCCCCAATGGCCCCAAACGGCTCTGCCCTTTGGCCGTTGCCCTTTGGCTGCTGCCCCAAGGCCACTGGCCTTGGCCAGCAATAAGAGTTCTCCACTGCAGCCCCTGCCCTGCAATTACCGCAGTTGGTGCCTGCCCACCTCTCCTGCACAGCTGCCACCTGTGCGGGGGCGAAGGCAGTGGGGGGGGGTCCATGGGGGCCTTGCCAGCAGCACGATTAGTGGCGGCAGCGTTCCAGCCCCGCAGCAGTAGATTGGCGGGCGGGCGATGGTCATGGGTGATGGTGAGTCCTAAGGTCCCTGGCCGCGACCAGCAATAAGAGCGCTCAATCAGATGGCTGTCCAGTTTCTTTTTAAATGTCTGTAGTGTGGGAGAGCCCACCATCTCTCTAGGCAGCTGGTTCCACTGTTAAATTGCTCCGACAGTGAGAATATCTAGATGTTTCCTGATATCTAGCCTGATCATTCTGCATCCTACACTCTGGTTTCAGTGAGACGAGATCTTGACCTTCTTGTTTGTGACAGTCTTTGAGGTACTTACAGAGGGGGATATCATGCCCCCCCTTTTCTTCTCAAGGGAGAACATGCCCAGTTCTCTCAGTCTCTCCTCATAGGGCAGTGTTTTCAAACCATGGATCATTTTTGTTGCCCTCCTCTGGACCCTTTCTAATTTTTCTGCATTTTTCTTAAATCTTGTTGCCCACAACTGGACACAGCATTCCAATTACTTCATTTCTAATGAAAGAAATGCATTATTTTTTTATTAAAGCTATGTAGGAAAGGGTCATGTGGAAAATAACCACTTTTATTTTCTTTGCATTCTTTTTTCTTGTTGCATTTCTTTCAGCATCACCAAATCTCCTTCTTTATTCTGTTTCAGCTGGATGTGTTCTTGTTCTAGCCAGAAAGTTTGTTCCTTATGCATGTTTCGGCCTATTTGGAATAATTTTTATGCAGGTGAGTGGAAAAGCTTAAAGAACACACTCTAGATACCACAATGGGAAGTTATGCTAAACTCCATTCTAAGGATTTAGTGCTTTAAGGAAGGAAATCATGTTTTACAATCCAAGGAAATAACACGTTAATATTTAAGGTATATAAAAATCATACTAAGGCAATCTCTAATGCTGCTGCTGCGGTAGAAGAACAACTGCTAGCACAGGGGAAAACTAGTGATGGCTGGCACAACAAAGAACTAGGTGAGATTGCCACTTTCTAAAATGGAACAAGTTGGTGCAGTTTCCAGAAGATATGCCACTGCCTTATCTAGTGTCAAGAGCAGTGGTTTCAGCTAGTTTCCTGGATTGCACTGCAAAGTGCTAGCTTCTTATCGCAGTAGCAACCATTTCAGCTAGTGCGATGTGATTGGTTCACTGCCCTAAATTCTGCATTTATTATAAAATATCAATTGTAAGGACTATCATAATGAATGATAAGCACATGTATGGTTATTGCTAATACATTTAAGTAATGATGATCCTCATTTCCTATAACATCATTTTTAAATTGCCAGTTTAAAATGTTTTGGTTGGCTGGTTAAAATTATAGCTAGGGAAAACCTATAGGATTTATTTATTTCATTCTACTTCTATGCCTCCCTATAACCCAAGGGTCCTCTGGGAGGATTACAAATGCTGAAAGCATCATATAAATACAATCAATGAAACAGATAAAACAGATTAAAACAATAAAATTAATAAATTCTTAAACCCTCTCACATAATAAAAATAATATAAAGCCATACACAACATAACCAAATGCAACCAATAATTTAACAGCCAAAATTAAATAATAACAAAGTATAAATTAAAGTAACCAAAAGCTTGTTTGAACAAAAAGGTTTTTACCTGGCGTTTAAAGGAAAGCAAAATCAATGCCAACTTTATATCTCTGGGGAGTAAATTCCAGAGTCTGGGCACCACTACAGAAATGTCCCCCTCCTAGCTCTTTCCTTCTTAATCTCATGTGGGGGCAGTTTATAGAGGAGGACTTCAGAGATGGATCTAAGTGGGTGGGTAGGAATATATGGAGAGAAGTGCTTCCTCAGGTTGTTTCTTGTCAGCAAAAGTGATGTTGGTGCCCCATTAACCACACTTTGCTTATTTATTTTTGTTTTTCAGACAATTGCATACAGTATTTTATGGGACCTCAAATTCTTGATGAGGTAAGTGCAAGCCACACATTATGAAGAGCTGGAGGATCTCCAGTGAGGAAACCTGATGACATATGATGACATTGACATATGAAATGTGAAGGAACTCTCCACTTTCTTTCTCTCATTCCCTCTCTGGCACACACATGCTCCTATCTACCTATGTGCACACCTTAAATCTAAGCAGATGGGCCCATCAGAGTTGAAAAGGTTCTTTTCAACCACGGTGTGTCTGGGAAAATCCTAATTGCCAGCCTGATGGTGGAAAATTTGCTCAGAAAAGGGTTGGGAAGCCTGACTTGACCATGGTCCCAGTCCCACAACTGCAGTTCAGTTCAGTGATAATATGCCCAATAACACAGTGCAGTCCTGCCTGCTTATTGCCTCCATTGCAGAAGATTTTCTTCATAAGTGTCTAGTAGTGCTCTGTGTCGACTTTCCACACAGAACAAGCATTCATTCTTCTATAGTCTCTGCAGATTGAACAAAATGTCTTTTCTAATTCCGGCACGCTGTCTGTGCTAACTCAAGTTAGTGGCTCCAAGAGGAATGCCTCATCTTTGACTCCAAGAGTTTACTTGGTCAGGAAGTGGGGAATTTCTCTGAAGTATGTACCTCAGAACACTTGACAGTGCATGAACGGACAACATGATGGCAGAGCAAAGAGGGGAGAGATGGATCTTGTTGTCTGTCACAGAATGGAGTTCTGAGTGGCAATAGCCATATCTAGCCAGCCAGAACATCACCACTGTCACTTTGATATAGGGACTGGATGGAAAAGAGCATCAGGTGCATCTGGCCAGCTAGGAAGATGCATACCACGGAATTAGAAAAGCAAAACCATGAAGAGAGGCCCAGGTAGCAAATGTTGTTCTGTTGTGCAATTTGTGTCAAGTCATTTGAACCATCTCTGTTTTTCCTTTCTGCTAGGAATTTGGCTCTTGGGGGTGGACTGCTTCTGCTACTTGCAGAGTCTCGTTCTGAGGGGAAGTCCATGTTTGCTGGAGTCCCTACCATGGATGACATCTCACCACGGCAGTATATGCAGCTTGGTGGCCGGTTGCTTCTTGTTCTCATGTTTATGACGCTCCTGCACTTTGAACTCAGCGCCTTCACCGTGAGTGGCCCCTCAAGTTCATTTTTTCTTGATAATCTCTAGAAATAAGCATGTGCGCCCTTTGGGCAAGTATTTATTTACCTTGTCACAGCACAGAGACAGGCCGTGCTGTTGAATTCTAGGACAGTCTCCTTGCAAGTGTGGCAAGCTGCTCACCATGGCTGTAAGTTCACACTGCTGCAGCTCTAGCACTTCCAGAAGTCCGGAGGTGGAGACTCCACTCTTGCCAGGCCTCTTTGCTATCCTGGAGGCTTTCGTGAGGCCTCTTCTGGCCTGCCTTCACTGCCATTCCTTGTTCGTTTCAAAGGCCGTTTCTAACCTGTGATCAGTCTTCCCAGCCTGATGCCCTCCAGATGTGTTGGACTACAACCCCCAATTTGGGGAAGGCTGACCTAGGGCTATTTGAGAGCCCAGAGTAGTCTCTTAGGTCAATGTTGAGTCTGGAGGGAGCCAGCCCTTAAGGCAAGAAGCTCTGTTGATGTGTGCTGCTTCTGTTTCCTCTTCCCAGATTTTCCAGGACATCTTTGGCATGGCACTCATCATTTTGGTAGCCATTGGCTTCAAGACCAAGCTCGCCGCTCTCACCCTGGTGATCTGGCTCTTCATCATCAATCTGATCCAGAATGCCTTCTGGAGCATCCCCACCTACAGGCCCCTCCACGACTTCCTCAAATATGACTTTTTCCAGACCATGTCTGTCATAGGTGGCCTGCTGCTTGTTGTGGCATTGGGACCTGGGGGAGTTTCCATGGACGAACACAAGAAGAAGTGGTGAAGAGGGACTCTAAACAGGGCTCAGTGGGGGAAGGGGGGGGGGGGGGGGGGGGCAGACTATGACTTTTACAAACCTGTGTAGAATTTTCTTCTCTTTTGATTGATTCTCTTGAGGTTTATCATAGTTCACGGTTGCCTTATCAGGGTAGGAGAGCCTTTGCTTTCTATCCTTTTGAGACATGTAAATTAAAGTCAAATTATATATATATTTATATTTATATGGATTTGCTGAACTTTTCCTACATACCCTTTGAGATCCCATGCCATGGGGACCTCAGAGGTACCTCATCTTCAGACATAGGAGGCCAGGATTGAAGCAGGTTGACCTTCAGCAACTTAGAAGCAACTTTTATCTTGGCAGGGCTGAGCTTCAGTTTGTTGATCTGCTTCCCGCCTAAGTTTCAAAGTTGGGTCTATTTCCTTAAGTATGCATTCAAGAAAATGGGGTAATTTTAAAGAATAATCTTGATTTTTGACTCCTCTTTCTTTTGAAGGAAGGAAGTGGGGATGGGTTCTTAGTGAAATGACCCTTAATACAAGAGGGATAGAGGAGGTAACACAACAGAGACCATTTGGTAGTGGATAGTATACAAAAGCTTTAAATAAATGAATAAATAAACAGCAGCAGTGCTCTGCCTGGAGAGTCCCTGAACATTCTGGAGGAAAGGATTGCTCAGGTTCTCTGCTTTCCAGATGGTTCTGCAAGTTCAAGTAGAAGCGCAAGTTCCCTACTTCTTAGGGAAGTAATCCAAGAAGTAATAGATATAAAAGCAGAATGATTCATTTCAGTTTTAGAAGAGGAAAACCTTCCTATGTGGTGGTGCAGTTTAATGAAGAATAATCTGACACGGGAAGCAGTGGGCTCTTCAGACGTTTTCAGAAACTGGGCACATACTGTGGGTTCTCCTTCAGGGCTGATCACTCATTCAGTTACAGGAAGGCAATATGTCCCTTAACTCACTCACTCACTCACTCACTCACTCACTCACTCACTCACTCCTAGCTAAGGGCAAAAAGGTTGGGAACATAACCTGTTGATTCCTTCCAGGAAACAGGAACTGTAATTTCTATGAAATTAATAACTAAAAGTGATGCAATGGGCATTAGCTACACAAAGTGTTAATTTCATTTGGCACATGGACGATGGACACATAAGGAGCAAATAACTACACGGAAGCGCCAAATGTTCATGAACTGCAAGAGGCGATGGGAGAGTGCACAGGTACTAAAAAGAAGGCAAATTTTGTATTTGGAATTATTAGGAAAGGAATCAGAAACAACACTGCTGGTATAATAATCCATGTTTAGAAATCTGTGGAACATCCTCAGCTGAATTATGGTGTACATCACTGGTCACTGCACCTCAAGAAGAAGATTGCAGAGCTGGAAGAGAGTAAACAAAATAATCACAGGGCTAGTGCCCCTGAGGAAAGGCTACAATTTAGGCTGTTTAGGAAAAAATGAGTAAGATGGGGACATGATAGAAGTATATAAAATTGTGCATAGTGTGCAGAAAGTGGATAAGGAGACTGTTTTCTCCCTCCTAATACAGGAATTAAAATGAGTGATGGGAAGTTCAGGACAGGTGAAGTACTTCCTCACATAGCATGTAATTAAAATATGGAATTTGTTGTTGTAAGGGATAGTGATGGTGAGCATCTTGGATAGCTTTAACAGGATCAGACCAACTCATAGAGAACAAGGCAAACACTGGCTACTAGAATCTGTTATCACCAGTTCCCAGGGAGCATGAACAGGCGGTTGCTATTGTGCTTGTGTCCCTTTTGTGGGCTTCCCTTGGACACCATTGACTATTGCAGGAACAGAATGCTGGACTAGCATGGCTCTTCTGAAATTCTTTGTTTTGTGACATACAGAGTCCAAGTACATTATAATGCAATATCAGAGGGATCCATGAATATCTGCAGTCACAGGTGATAAGGCTATCGCAGCTTGAGCTATGCTATGCTAATTTGACACCTGTATAAGAAAATAAAGTCCCAAGCTTAATTAAGTCCAAACTGAATAGAATCAAATGTTGATGGTAACATCCTAATTCAGTGATTTCACTACAGCATTTTCCTTGAAACTTTTTTGTTGGAAAATGGTAATCTACAGGTCAGCAGATTGGTGAGAAAGCTTTTGAAAGGTGCTGTTTACGTAGGTCAGATTTTTGTCTGGTCATGCTATGGTAAGAAGGCACAAAAGAGATGATGACCATGCAACTAGCTGGGGTGTTGTTGTTTTTTTTAAAGTAGCCAGGGAGTGATTTGGATTGGGCCATCAAAGGAGGGGGAAGAGGGCCTTAGTCCTGTGCTTTCACTGTGGCCCTGCTTTGGAACTGGAGAGTTTACGTCTTTCTGTATTTAGGGAAAGGCTCCCATTGGCTTTAGAAAACTTTCTTTTGTGAAAATATAATTGTCTGGACTTGATAAGTTGATTGCATTGCTGAACTGGAGTGGCGTGGAGGGAATTACAAGCAAGAAAATAGCAAGCATACACAAAATGGTGAAGTTTGGACACCAGGGAGAAAGTTCCTCCCTTGCCCCTTTCTAGGATCAGCGCCTTTTATGACTCGGGCTCTCCAATAGAATATCTGCGACACAAGTATTATGCAGACCAGTATCGCCACAGCAGAAAGTACAGAAAGCCCCATTTGCTTGTGGAGAAGACCTGCCTTTTCCTAGCACTGCAACACAGAGCATAGGGAATTCTCTTCTCATGCCTTCAGCAGGCGGACTTCAGCCTTGCAGGTTCGTTTTTCAGCTAGAACCCCGTGATCTACCAGCTGGTGATCAGTTTCAACAACTCAGGGAGGCTGAGCAAACAAAGTTCCTCTGAACACACATTTTGTCCAGTGACTTGTTTTCATCAACAGCAGTAGGGTTAAGTGAATTAAGCACACAGCCCTTTCAAACAAAAATCCACTCTTGGCTTTCCCCCAGTCTTTAATTTCAGCACCCTAATTTGAAGGTTGACTGACTTCAAGCATGTTATAATCAGTGCTACATCAGCCGAGGAGGTTATCCCAGCAAATGCTCCCATTGCCAATGAGATGAAAACAGCTGAGGCAATATTTTTACTATTCCAATCCTTGCTGTGAATCACCCATAGATCTACCAGTAGATCCTCCTTCTCTGTGCTCTTGATCTATGCAGTCCCATAATTGTATGCATGCACAGGTGACTGGATCTCCCTCCAGAATCTTCTAGAGTGTAGGATTCTTCCTAGGTAGAGAGCAGTGTGATTCCACACATGCCCTGCAGGGCAGGGCAGGGCCTTCACCTCAGAGTGCTTCAAAAGAAGATGCTCTTAGAAGTTCCTCTGAGGTGCACACCTTAAAGTGTGCTTTCTTTTCTTTTTGGTGCCTCAAGGAAATTGGCAGCAATTCCCTGATAACGGGGCTGTTTGCTGAGATAATGCCCTTGCTGACTACAAAGTGTGAAGCACTCCCAAGAAGTCAACCAGAAAAAGAGAGAAAGTATTTTCCACGATGCATGGATACCTGGTAATTGTAACTCAGACCCTTTCCTCAGGAGCCCAGAGCCAGTGCTGCCTTTAGGACTGGAGAGCTCTTTGGTAAGACACTCAATGGCTCCCAACTTTCTCACTGCTGTTGTCACAAACTGCTCTTGCTCCTCGTGCTTTCCCATCTTTGCTGCTGCTTGCTGGACAGGCAGAGGGCAAGGGAGCAAGCCAGCAGGCACATCTCTTGCTCCTGCTCTTCCTCACCACCACTGTTTTCTGACCCAGGGCAAGAGGCAGGGGAACAAGCAGGCTACTGTGTTGCAAAGGAGCAAGCCCAGGGGGCCCTGGGGTGCAGGCCGATAGCAGGTGGCTCGGCCAGCATTCGTGACAGGCCTTTGGCTACTTGTCTCCTCCGGTGCTTTAGGGCACACCTCTGTCCATGTTTAGGCAGAAAAAGGCCCTACCATTACCAACATTTCCCAGCCAGCCATACTGTTGGACTTGTGCCAAATGTGCCACAGATTACACCCTAAATCTACAATGATTTCTAGACCACTTTTAAGGATAGTCTCCTTAAATCTAAACATGTTCAAGTTTTCAACCTTTCCCCTTTTTCTAGGAGTAGATTGGCTTACTTTACTCCTGATGCTGGTATTTTCTTGGAGCTATGGCATGATTTTTTGCCCATATTCGTGGCTGCTTGCAAAATATGAAACCACCCCTGAAAGATGGCCAACATGCACTGTGCTCTTCAGGGGCAAAGATTTAAAGCCATGACAAGTTGTTGACATCTTTTGGACAGCTGAAAGTAGGGCTGAGAGAAAAAAAATGGCTCCTAATATTCTCTGTGTGGGTGGGGAAATGGTGTGGGAGAGGTATTTTGTCAAATACAGCAGGACCCCAGTATCTGCTGTCTCAATTGCCATGGTTTCACTTAACTAAGGTTGACCACCAGCCCTCCACATTTTCAGGATTAGGGGCGCAAGACCCCCACGGAAGCAGAAAAACTGCAAATATCCCTAGGAAACTAAATGCACTGTTTGGGGATGCCATGCTCTTTGTCTTGGTACTAGCCAGCCTCACTCATGTGCTGTGTCTCTCAGTGAGAGTAGAGGCTCTAGAGATACTAACTTTCCTCCCACTTTTGTGGGGGTCTTGCACTCCTAATGTAGTGTTTGCTACTATCCGCAGTTTCAGCCATCCCCTGCGGGGCTTAGAACCTATCGCCACAGACATGGAAGGCCTGCTGTATTCTCTCTGACAAGATGGAATGCTCTAACATGGGCTGGAGAGACAAGAATAATTTTCTTAAACATTTTGGCTTAGTTAACACTTTTGTTATTTCATAGTGGTAGATGGAAGGAGACAGTGGGCTGAGACAGGAAGGCCTGGCACCAAGCTTACTTTCTTTTTGGCACCAAATTAAAGGTTTGTTTTTGGGTTTTTTGCTCAGACGGTTTAAAGAATTTAAATACTGTAAACATTTTAATGAATTTCTTAAATGTAATGTTTTTATTTGTTCTGTTGGTTGAAAAGTTGTTGTTTGGCCCTTAATTTATGATTTTTTATATTAGACTTTTTGTTTTTGCTTGTTTGTTTTTAATGTTGTGTATGCCACACTGAAATACTTTGTGAATGAAGGGCAGATTATCCATTATATTAAACATTGTTTCTGTTTCTATTGTTTCCCATTACTTGATCTTACTCTATTTATCATTTTCTCTTTCCATCATGCATTTGATTAAGTAACCTGCTACTTAAAAAGATTGCTTATGCCATCATTGACAGTGAACCCTGTATGTGTCTACAGTAAAGTCCCATTGAATTCATGGGACTTATCCCAATAGGATTTCAGGAAAATGCTCTACAATTCCCAGAATTCCCCAGCCAATACTGCTGGCTAAGTCTTGGTGGGTGTTGTAGGGCTCTTTTCTGTGTTAGCATGCATAGGGTTGTACCTTGGTCCCACGCAGCAGTCACACGCAGTCATGTGTGTGTGTTTTATCTTGTGGCCCTGTTGTGTGGCCACATTCATTCAGACTCCACAGGTACTGCTGTCCTTAGTGCCCTTTTTTGTCTTTAAAAACAATGGTATGGTGTTGATGCAGTCAGTGTTCTTTCACAGCATAGAACTCATTCAGTATAACTAGCATTGTGACGGTTATCAGTTTTACTGCAATTTTTTATGTTTAATTCAAAGTCCTCCAGAAAAGCTGATTTTTTACCAGAGAGTGGAACATCATAGAATAATGGAGCCAGGCAAATTTCCAAGCAGAGTGCCACAATGTCAGTGTCAGAACTGCCTTTTGCAGCCACCTGTCACATTTAAGCTTCTGGGAGAAATGAAGACAGTCCCCCTTGATGTAAATCTGAGCATGGAGACAGAACATGTGTGAGAAGGTGATTTTCATAATAAGTATATCTTTCTGTAACTGAAACAGAACCAAACTGTCCCTGTTAGCTCACACCTACTAAGGGCTACATCTGTTTGGCTGCAACTTAAATTGGTTGAGTCTTGAGTTACGGAAACAGATTTTTCCTTTTTGAGATACAAAACTGTGCAATTGAGAATCCTCTAACAAAGTAGGAGGCTTTCCCTACCCCGCTAACCTCTTTGCCTACACTCCATGCCATTTCCTTGAAAAGCAGTGCACACATATCTGCCCTCTCCTGCACACAGTCATTACAGGAGCTGCCAGACTGGTTTGATCGCAACACATCTCAAGAAGGTGGTGACCTAACACCCTCATGGCATGTTTCCTAAAGCCACATAGGTTAGAGTACAGGACAGGCCATAACAGAGGTGGCTTCACTTTTGGGGAGAAGCTTTTCAGCAAACCAGTTATATGAAAGTCATGACATAGAATAGTCACCTCAGCTTCTTTGCTGAAGCGGTGACATACTTTGGTTTGAATGAATGGTGGAAATCCAACTGATTTTGGCTGTCCCTGCATCCAGACTGAAAGCTGGAGTTGGGACTCATGAGTCCTGATTTCTAGCCTCTGACCCAAAACTAGAACCAGTCAAAATCACTTTAGGAGAAGGGGGCACAAATTTTAATGAATTCATGTAAAGGGAGGCACTGGAAACTTTAGGGCTATTCTAGACAAAAATTTGACTTCACAGTAAAATACACCAAGTAAGAGGTGTGAGATGGCAATAAATTTCTACTCCTAGAAAGCTGGCATGTAAGGGAAAATAAAAGGCTACTCTGGAACCTCCCTTCACTTTCCCCTGACATCTAGTGCAGTTTTATTATAGCTCTGATTACTGGGCAGTATAGAATGAAAATGCTAATATTTTAGAGGGATGCTTTCAGTCTTGTGGTTTGAATTTTGATAAGTAAAATCAACCAGCTACTGTATATGCTATATTGCTGTTACTTCTGGTTTCAGTCAGTGTACTGTATGTGCATGCTGAGAGTTTGGAAATACCTTAGAATTACTGTAAAATGTAAATAAAGCAGGCTGGTTAGGGGCTCCTTTAGGTTGCAGTGTTTTGAAGCAAGATTACCCAAAAATATTATTTTGCCCTTGGGACAATCTTGCTGACTCATTAGTTGTTGGAACATAGCTTTGGGATTTGATTTTTACAAGAAAAGGTAGCTGGTCTTTTGGTGAGTGTGGGAAGATAGAAAACAGATGAGTAGGTGGGGTGGAGTGGGGGAGAAAAAACAGTATGCCTTGTATTCTGCCAACTATAGCTGGATTCAGAAATACAGCTAGAGCACTATTACATATTTTGCGCATTGATCTGCTGGTCCTGTGCTTCCTGCCTGTTTTTCAGTATGGCATAAATGAAATGCAGTTTTTAAAAATCCCAAGACCCCAAAATTCATGTACCTCTTGGTCCGTGACAGCTCTGGTAGCACTGACCTGAAATCTGTTTTTATTTTTGGTATTGAAAGTATTACTACTAACACACACACACACACACTCAAAGTTCATGTTCCACATCACTAACATAGACCGACCAAATGTTGGAATGAGTGTTGAGACTACGTTGTTGGAAGTATATTCTTTCATTAGTTGATCTGAAAACTAATTCTGTGTTGTGGTAAGAAAAACAAGCTTGCTGTGGCAGCATAGAAATTACTGGCTGCAAGACAAGAGTGAATCTCTCCTTCCCTATTTTAGAAACGTTCGGTTCTCTGGCCGATAAATGAGCCAACATTTGCTTCCTGGGAATCATTTAGGCAAAGAGCACTACCTAGTGGCAAAGCACAGCACCACATGAAGAACCTGCAAGAACAGGCCGAAAAGCGTGACTCTCCTACAGCATGTCTAGGCTACGATTTTTTATTGGCTTTATATTACTTGTATTATAAAGGCTTTCCACAAATAATTCTGGGAATTGTAATTAGTTGGCAGTGCTGAGAATTCTTTGTTAGTAATCCCTAGACTTCTCAACTCTCTGAACTGTAGTTGCTTGGGTAGCCTGGAAAGAAAAAGATGTCAGATTAATACATTACTAAAAATATGTTTTTGGAAATAAGCAACAGTGTAGATACATTACTTGTGCCCAATAATCAGAAATAATTTCTCCCTCTCCTGAATGTAGCCCAGATTTTTATCAAGAAAAGCAGTACTGACTGGGTTTACACAACAACCCATCATAGGTTGCTACCCATGTTGTATCATGTGAACAAGCACTGATTTCTCTAGGGCGGCTCATTCATGGACAACAAGCCACCCCGCAAACCCATCAGACGTTGTAGGTGTCGTGAGGCCGTAACTCACATCTCCAATTAACTCACACAGCAGTCGGCAATAAAACTAAAGACTTTTATTGCTACTCGCTACAAGATTTACGATGCAATAGATAAGCTCTGGCAATGAGCTCCTCGCAGCTCAGTTGCCCCCTCCTTTCTGAACTCTAAGGGGAAGGTCACGTGGAACTCAATCTCCTCCCACGTCTTTCTGCCTGTGGGTGGGACAAACCTCTCTCCTGCCGTCCCAATTGGTCTAAACGCCACCATCTTCTCCGGAGCTGGGCACTCCATAAATTTCCTGTTACGTCTTCCTGTTCTCCAGGACTCTGCCCAGCAGCTTCAGAGTCAGGAGGCCGGAGGGGGAGGGCAACTTGTTCAAACACCTCAGAGTCTAGAGGAAGGGAAGCTGCACCCTGCTCAAACAACTCAGAGCTAGGGTGTGGGGAGGCTACTCGCTCGGAAACCTCAGTCGGGCTGCAGAGGGGCCGTTTGGGCCCTGGGCACCAAGTATAGATCCCCTTGTTCCAATGCCTGACTCTCACTGTGAGCTTCTGGCCCTCTCTCGCGTGCCAATGCCTCCGTCGAGCCGTAAGGCACGACACTAGGTGGTGTTGCACCCGCAATGGATTGTCATGCCACCCAAACCCAGTACAGGAAACTGACTACCCTTGCTGCTTTTCCCAAGCAGCTCCCAGGAAACTGCCAGTGCCAGCCACCCCAAAAGTGCCCAAATAGCTGGCACTGCTTCCTGCTCCTGAGCACACAAGCCATTTCTGCGTTGTTCAAGCCTTTTTTCTTTGCAGATCACGAAAACCAGTTTTCAAACCAACTCTTTCAATCCTTATTTTGACACCATTCTTTCAGAAATCATACAGCTAATGATGGCAGGAACCAAAGTGTTCCATATACAGAAGGAGGCCATTCTGGGAAACACCAGCACAGAACTAGAGGTTAGGGCAGCAGCTATTATGGCAGCAGTTATACAATTTGCACTGTATTAAATAAAGTTTGTTCCATTCTGCACTCTCTTGACCACAGCAAATATAACAACATACAGTACTGAGTACTCTTTCTCAACAAAAGAGTGTGTAGTGCAGGCACAGTTCTCTGATGTGAGCATTTTTTGTGGGTTTTTGTTTGTTTTGTGCAGAGGAAGCTTTTCACAGGAAATAATATTCAAGCATGAGATTCCTTTATTTGTAGTGCACCTTTCAAATCCATAGCAAATACAACATTCCAAAAATAGTTTTAGTTGGCTTTGATGTTGGGCAGACAGCCATTAGTCTACCATTCCCAGTGTTCATGACCAAGTCAAGCAGGAGACAGTGTAACTCTGGGAAAGGTTTGTGGGGGGGGGGATCCAGTATCACTTTGGATTTCCTTTTATGAAAGGGAAGGAAGGCACAGGTGTACTGGTAGTGGCAGTGGTGGCAAACACAATATGGCTGGAGATGAAATGTTTAAGCTATTAGAAAACATAATGGGTACAAGAAGTTTCTGTCTATTTCAGAAACTAACAGTGCAATCTTAAATTTACTTGGGAGTGTTTCCATTTGAGGCTTTCATCATACTGTTGCTCTGCCTCATTTACATAATTTTATGAGGATTTAGATATCACCATCTACTCTCAGCCCGTTTTCCCACCATCCTTTTGCTTCCTGAAGAAAATTTATTTAAGCAGAAAACAATGGAATAGCTGTGCACAATCCCTTCTAACAGCTACTGGCTGGAACAACCCTTAAATAACCCCCACTGAGTTCAGTAGGGCTTACTCCCAGCTAGGTTCGTATAGAATTGCAGACTATGCAGAACTAAAAAAAACCCCATTGGATGTATTGCTGAACATGTAAAGCATGGGATTGAGTTGAGGTTCAAGAGGGCTTCCCCTATAATTAAGTGGGAATTGGATTGCAACTGGAGGTTGAATAATATGCAAATAAATAAGAGTTAGGATCATCATAATCGAAGTCTGTGATAAGCAGGTAAAGCACCAAAATAGTGCTAGGTAGAGAAAAAAGACTCAAATCTGCAGGGGAACTCCCCAAATTTGCATAGGTTTACATATGTGTGCGTGTGTTCGAAATACCCCATCTCCTAAAGACACCCTATTTGTTTAAAAAAGGGGGGGAATATATGGACAGGGAGAGCGTTTAAGGAAAAAGCCTCAGGCAGAGACACTCAAGAAGCGGCAGCGGGAAGTGAAGCACATTTGGGCAAAAAGCCACCTTATCCAGGTGGATCAAACGCAACAGAAATCCCAAGGGCCACTGCACCTGATTTCAGCAAGAGCTCAGAGGCAGCGGGCTCCCCAGCGATTCGGGACTCCAGACCTCGCGGGCTGCCTCCTGACACCGCCTCCGCAGTAAACGCTACCTCGGGGCGGCTGCGTGTGAGAAATGAAGTACCCGGGCGAATCAACGGACTTCGCTCCGAATTGCGCTCCGGTTTCTCTTCGGTAAAAAGAGGCCGCTCGGCGCTCTGGAAGAGGCTCGAGCAGGGCAAAGAAAAGCCTCCCTTCCCCTGGACAGGGTGCCCTCAATCCCCGGTGGCAACAGGCCACGGCCTGCCTATAAGAGCCGGGCACGGAGGCGACAGGCAGACGCGACAGCTCTTCTGGCGCGGCCTGATGATGCAAGCCGGAGGAGGCGGGGCGCAGAAGAGCCGAGAGAAGCGAAGCTCCGCTGAGGTTAGCGGGCTTCGCCTCCTATCCGGCTACCCTGTTTCTTGTGGACTTGACTCCCTGCGTCCTTTCTCGGTCGCCACAGGAGTCGCTTATCACCCCCGTCCCCCAGGGCGTCAGGGCGCGTGGGGGAAAGCGCCTCCTCCGGTGGCCCCGTTGCTGCTGCCGCGCAGGTACTGTGGGGGTGTTGAGGAATGGGGGACTCCGCGTGAGCCCCCTTCGTGCGGAGTGTCTGTGAATTTATGCGCCTCGTGTCTGCATATACGCCGTGGCGATGCTGTTGATGGTAGCAATAATAACAGCACACGGTTTTATCTGGCACTTCGGTGCGTTCAGACCTTAGCAACAGAATCGCAGTCTTCCCCATCTCAAAACAGCTGGCTCGGAACACGTAAAACGAAAACAATCAGTGTAAGGCGCTGTGCTCGAGGGCCTCCAAATCTGCCACTCACCGGGTCAACCAGAAACTTTAAGAAGTTGGGACATTTTTCATTCCAACCAGAAAGGGCAAGAGCATTTGGGAAACACTGAGTAACACTGAGGTAAAACTGGTGATGGTAGTGGGGGACCCTTTTCCCAATTCATAATCTGAATTTTGACCAAGGAGACAGGGGGAATAGGAACGCCCTTGATCAATTCCAGTCAGAGATAGCGTTGTTGCAGTTATTTACAATCTGGTAAACTTCCAGTTGGATTTGCTGCATAACCTACATGGGGCTGTCTTTGAAAATGGTCTCAAAACTTTACTTGGTCAAAAATAAAGAAGAAAAATAAAGAAGCAAATATGTTTTGATTACATTATACCAATGCTATGTCATCTGCACCAGCTTCCAGGGCTCAATGCAAGGTGCTAAATGGCTTGGATCCAGATTTTCTGAAAGATTATCTCCTCCCATATATACCTACCTGATCCCTGTGGTCATCTTTTGAGACTCTTCTTTGGCTGCCCATAGAGTGAGGTGTGATGAGTGGCTAAACCGGAGAGGTCATTTTAAATGATGATTCCCCAGTTCCGGAATTCCCCCCCCCCGCCCCCCAGGTTTGTCTGATGATCACTTTACACTTTTTTCCAGTGTCAGGTGCAAACTTTTTAAATTTTTCCACAGGGTTTAATATCCTTCAGAGATTTTAGATTTCTGAATATTCAGAGATGATTGTATTCTGACAGTGCTTTGAGTTTTGTTTTCTATTGAAGTATGTATGCTGCTTTTGATTTTTTTGGCTTTATATCTAATCTCACTTTTACATTGTTTTTAGAACATAAACTGCCCCAAAATAGTATAACTCTTAGGACTAAGTGCTAAACAACAGAGAGACTTCTCTCAGCCTTCATAGCCTGTTGATGAACTTTTTGCAGGCATCTTATAAACTGCTGCTGGGAAAAAAAACTGTTGAATTAGCCTAACCTTTCAGTCAGATCCTGCATGAGCCCTTATTTGACACTACTGCAAAATGCCCTAGAAGGTTTGCTTTGCAGTCATTTATCTGGACCAGTAGTTGGCTTCATAAAAAAGAGGGGCTCAGATTGGATTAGATATATGTAGACTGTGGTTAAGCGGTGCTTTGAGAAATGTACTTCACACATGCTCAGATGTACACTTTGTTAGTGTTCCAAACATTAGAAGCAGGTTGTAGGCTACCTTTGCTTGGTTGCTGGTTTGGGAGTGCTGAAGGGTGAAGCAGTTTGTTCTTTCCTCTCCAGGAAAATCCTAGAAATAACTTCCTCCCACCATTCCAGCGGTTCAGGCAATTCCAGCTGTTCTGCTAGACCTGTGTCACCATGGTAAGTATATGGGATGGTTTGTAACCACAGAGATGGGAGTGGGGTGCTTTATTCCACATGATGCTTGAAACTCAACAAGGTAAAGCACAGCTCCATAAACTGCTGTGATGTGTGCTTCTCAGCAGTCTGCATCTAGCTTCTTGTGGAGGCATATTGGTTCATAAAAGCATCGCCTATCAACAGCCTCTAGTCGTGATGGCTGTTACTGCTTCCAGTGTTGGAGGCTGTATTCCTGGGTATACCAGTTGCTGGACAATTTGAGTAAGAGAGTGTTTCTCTTGTACTCATGTTCTGCTTGTGGGATCCTGTAGGCTGTGGTTGGCCACGATGTGAACAGAGTGCTAGACTAGATGGATCATGGCCTGATTCAGCACAGTTTTTCTTATGTTCTTAAAGAAGCACCTCTCCTGGAGTGTCAGGCTGACTACAAACGCAGCAGTAGGCATGTGTGCTCCTTAGCATGGGGTGGTGAGGGGCTGCTGTCAGATGTAAACTTGTTGATATAACCTTCAGTCTTCCCTGTAAACTTGTGGGAACTTCTGCATAAAAGCCTTTTTGTCAGCTGAACCAACAATTCAGGGCCATGGTTGCCACTGAGGAGCTGTTCCGTGTTTGCTGGCAAGCCTGGCACTGCTCAGGACTGTGCTGCTTCTGCGGATGCACCATTTGTATGAACCATGGTTCCAAATCATGTCTAAGTATGTGGCCATGATGATGCCCAGAACTGCAAATAATAGTGTGTGAACAGAATGCTGGGCTAAATAGGCCTTTGGTCAGATTTGGAATGGTTTTTCTTCTGTTCTTCACCCTTTGTGCAAATTACAGCAGCCACATTCCATTGAAGTGATGACTTAGTTACAAACACACACACACAGCTTGACTTGGCCTGATTCCTGAATTCCCAAAGTGCTGCCAGCAAGTGAGAACTGGCACAAATCAGCAACCGTTGTTGGAGTAATGTACCTGTAGGATAAAGTCACAGAGACACAGTTGTTGGAACTGTGGCTTAGCCACAATAGTTAATGGGGACCTGCATGCTCATAACCCATACAACTGTGAATCCCTGACATGGAGGGAACACTGGAAGCCTTCAGGATCTGGCTGGGCTTTCTGGACTTTCTGGAGAAAGATGTTGACTAGATAAACCTGAGGTCTAATCAAGGCAGGGCTCTTCTCATCTTCTTATGCAGTGGAGGAAAAATATGACAATTATTTTGCTCTTTGGAAATTTGGCTGGTCCTCATTTTGCACTCTGTTCTGGGGTAATACAGGGTAACATGAAAACTGGGATCTGGCTTCTGCTTCAGAACATCTGAACTCAACAAGAACAAAACCAGTTGCGTTTGCAAAGTGCTCTGTTGCTTTAAAATGTTATCAAACGAAAACAACTCTAATACTGCCATTGTATCTTACAGGGAGAAAGAAAAGGCGTCAATAAGTACTACCCACCAGATTTTGATCCAGCCAAGGTAAGAGAGCAATCAGGATTTTAAGAGCAGTTCGGGACTTCTAGTTGTAAACTGATTGCATGCACTTTCCTCATCTTTGCATTGCAAGGAAACTATTGATGTAGAGCTTGCATGTGGCAAATTTCTAGTGCCAGGTGGGCAACTTTGGGAGAGCTGAGGGGCAGTTTTGCTCCCCAGACCTACCTTTTAAACTTCCCTCCATGGATAACAATACATAGTTAAAACTAAAATAAAATGACATCTGTAGCTGCTATCGAGTGCCAAAAGGGTCAACATTAGCTCTTAATGAAAGCCATTTTGCCTGGATTTTTCAAATTACGATTATTTTGGGGTCTCCTAAATTTTGGAAAGAGGCAGAGGCTTCACTGAGTGGCAGGAACTGCATAGCGATATCAAGCAACATGTTGTCTATCCCTGTTCCAGTGGCTACAGCATGGTAGGGACAGAACTTGAATTGTCTGGGCTGGTGTTAACAGGATGATATGGGTAGGTCCATGAGCAAGGCTTTTTGGATGGTGCCTCTATTTCTAGATTTGTATTTGGCCCAGATGCAGGAGTAAGTTCAGATAACGAACTCCAGCCACCCAGTGGGAAAGAAATTCCAGGGTATTTCAGCTATATCCTCTAGTTAGGTTATTCATCGGCCACTTGGTTTCTCTTTGGAACTGTTAACACTATCAGTTTCTGGAAATAATAGCTCAGTTAGAGCATGCACAAAGTGGTTTGTTGAATCCAGTCTAGTATTCATCTTCATGAATTCTCCTTATGAGCATTCCTGGGCCCCATCCCTTTGGGAGGGGCTTTCTGAAAGTGAGCATGCTTCCTCTCAAGTGCACTGATCCTCTAATTGGGCCACCCTCCTCTGCTGACACTGCACCCAAAGCAGCCATCTTTCTCACTCCCAACACAGAGCAAATTGTGAGGATGTGCAGTGGACTATAAGAGGAAGCGGAAACACCCCCTCCTAATTCCACTGGTGGAGAAATTTAATTGGATTTCATCCTTGGTTATTCACAGAAAGATATACCTCAAAAACTAGCTATGTGATTGTATAGGATTTATGCCAGACTTCTATAACTGTTTCTTTTATCTTGCTTTGTATATTAGCAAATGAAAAAGGGATTGAAAGATCAAGCTAAAATGAAACTTAGTAAAATAGTAAAATATATGATAAAATATTTTTTAAAATCCTAGTACAGGAAATTAGCTTGATCATCAGTCACTTGTATCTCTGTGAATTCCTTCCAAGCCTGAACAGTGAATCTGGCCAGTCAGAATGTAGTAAATGCATAACAGTTGGAAAGGAAGAGCTTAAATCCTATCAGTCTCTTCTATCACCCAACCTAATTTGAAAATTTCTTCCTTGGCAAATTGTAAACAAGACAACATAGCACATACTGAGATGTTTATCACTTCCATCTGCATGTTACAGTAACTTACCACATTTGTGTAGAAATTGAGTGGGCATGCTTGAAAGCCATGATGTTGTAAATTCCCTACAGAAAAAAAAGAAAATTTTCAACTTCAGATTTGTCTAAACCTCTAGCAGGAGTAGAGAAAGATGTTTTGTATCTGCTTGGACAAGAGAGTTTAAGTTTGGCCTGAAAGTCTGATTTGACTGTTTTGATCTGGTCTTTCCCTGACAAGGACAAATGGAAAGTGCTTGCACTGAAGAGCCTAGACCTCCTGAAATTATCCCAGATTCTCATGCTGAGATAGAAATAGTAGCATTATGTTTCCAGATGCCTTCCTGGGGTGAGCGATAAACCTGGAAACCAAGCTGGTTGATTGGTGTCCTAATAGGATTATCAGGTACATCTAGATTTTCCTGCTAATATAGCTTAGCACAAGCTCAAATCATTGTGTCAAGCTGATAGAAAACTTTTTGGGAGCCAGGAGGAGTCAGCTCTTATTCTGGGCATATGCTTAGCTTCCTGCTGGGTGTCTCTCTACTTTCTAGTGGCATGGCCACATCATCATAATTGTGGGCTGATAGAAGCATGAGTGTGATGGAGCTGTTGCAAGATGTTAAGTGTCCATCTTCTCTTCTCTCTCACAGCATGGCTCTCTTAATAAGTACCGCAACAGCCATCCACTGCGGGAAAGAGCCCGTAAACTCTCCCAAGGTATCCTCATCATCAGGTAAGGACATCAAGATGCAGCCCTTGCTTGCTTGATATTTGGAATGTCTTGGGCTCCTTCATGATTAGATCAAGGGAGTCTTGTCTATATTGTGCTCTCAGCAAGATGGCACTGGAAATGGTCCCCCTTGTTCTTTGCCAGGCTTGTGTATCAGGGAGGATTTGCTTTGTGTTGGCTGGCTTAAATGGAGCAAATCCATCACACTGGACTTGCTCTCAAGCTAAGCTGAATAGCTTGGCTGCAATAACCCCTCTCCCTGCTGCTCTTTCCTAGGTTTGAGATGCCCTATAACATCTGGTGTGATGGCTGCCAGAACCATATTGGCATGGGTAAGTGTGGACTGCACCCTCCAAGCAGACACCTTAAAGAACATATGCCATGCTGGATCATACCAAAGGTCCACCTAGTCCAGCATTCCAGACACACAGTGGCAAATCACAGGATCGCTCAAGCAGGATGGGTGCATGACCTCTGCCTGCCCAAGCTCTTCAGCAGCTGGTATATGCAGACATGCCACCTCTTGTGAAGGAGCTAGCACATAGCCAACAAGGCTAGTAGCTACGGATAGCCTCCTCCTCCATGGATCTGTCCAATCTCCTTTTAAGGCCATCCAAATTGATGGCAATCACCATTTCCTGTGGCAGCAAATTCCACAGTTCTACCATAGGTTGTGTAAAGATGCATTTCCTTTTATCTGTCTTAAACCTACCACCTTGCAAAGCAGGCCATGATGGGGTCTTAAACTAAGTCTAACGTTAGAAAAGGAGATGTGAGAGAAGGCGCAAGATAGCAACAGCTACATGCAGGGAACATTTAAACTCTCTTGAGTGCCTTTTCTTGGTTGAAGTCCTAGTCAAATATATGCATATGCAGATAAATACTGCCTGTTTCACTTCCATCCAATAATTTACATGTCTCAGTCATCTGCTTTTCTGTTCTTGGATGGAATAAGGTACTGCTTATATCCCTGGCATTTCAAAATGGGTCAAGAAAAAATTGGGAAAGGGAGGATTGGGGTGCAAGAGAAAGTAAGAGGAATGACATCAAATGTCGCTCATTGGAACAAGAGAAAGGAATTCCAGTCCGCTAAGTTAGATTCTCAGTTTGGGAAAGGTGGAGTGGAACCTTCCTCACACCTTGGTTGATTGGGATGGGAGTTGTAGTCCAATACCTCTGGAGAGCACTGCATTGGAGTAGGTTACAGGTCCTTGAAGCCAGAATATCTGGGGATCTTTGTCTTTCCCTTCTGTGTGCCCTTGTGCCATTTTGACAATTATGGTATTTTTTTCTTTTTTTGAGGCATGGGGTATGAATGTTTAAAATAAACAAAATGCTAATTATTGATAGGGTATGCTATCAGGGAATCCATTGTAGGAGTATCCAAATACTAGATGCCTATCCTTCTCTTTGTTTGTTGAAGGTGTTCGTTACAATGCAGAGAAGAAGAAAGTTGGCAATTACTACACAACCCCTATCTTCAGGTGAGTGCTCTGAAGGCAGAGGGGTCTTTCTGTCTGTACTCCCTGGAGTTATTGGTAGGGATTGATTGGGCAGTCAGGGCATCAAAATAAGGTCAAATTTGACGAAGGAGGAAATTGCTGGGAAGGCCACATGTAGTCCACTTACACTTCCAGTGCTAGGCAGAAAACCAAATCTTGTGTCCTGGCTGATCTGTACCGCATGAGATAAGGCGCACTGAGGTCACAACCTTTAGTCCAGGGGTGAGGAAACTCTGGCAGCCTGAGAGCTGAATTCTCTCAGGGGTCACATTCCAATGGTGGGTGGAAGCAGAGGAGGTGGAGTTAAAGCTAAGATGGGTAGGGCCAGAATAATCACCCTTTCATGTGGTAGCATAAAGGTGCAATCCTGTGCATGTTTAGAATGAAAAAAGTCCAACAGCTCAGCATGCCTGGCTGGGGATTGTTGGGAACCGTAGGACTTTTTTCTTTCTAAACATGCATAGGATTATGCCCTAAAGTTCTTACTGTCAGTAAGAGAGGTATGAGAGGTATGACAGTTTTTCAGAAGGGGGGAAAACACAACATCAGTGCCAAGACATCAGCAAGAGCTCAGTGGTGTGGGTAAAGGGATAGGGCCAAAGGAAGAGGTGTCACCATTTGGAGAATCCAGTGGGGCCAGATTTGGATTTTAAAACACATTACTGCATTCTAATAAATGTAATGCTGGAAGCCTGCAGTAGCATATTCAGTCACTAGGTGGCAGACCTCTAGCAAGCTCATAGCTTTGCATTGGATGTGGTTTGAAGCTGAGGGTGGGGGACTGACCTGAGGAACAGGACTATATCACGGTCCCCTCCCTGCTGCATGGAGCTGCTTTCTCCTTAGGGGAATAGAGTGGGCTGGCCTTTCCTTTCAGGGTGCACTGTGGCATGGGCTGTGCTGGGGGGCCAGCAGCCTTGGCCTTGCTCAGACAGGGCAAGCAGAGTTGCTTGAGGACTTTATTTTATTGAGCCTAGGGCCATACACACCTATGTAAAGCTAAGCCAGTTCACTAGTGGTGTCATCACCACCACCACCATAAATCTCAACTTTTTGTATTTATGTTCTGTTAATAAAAAAGGGAAAAATCATCATCATCATCTTTCATTTCTCTACTGCTACATAGCCCAAGCTCTCTAAGATACAGTAGTGGGTGTTTCTCCATCCTTGTTCCGTTCTTGGTGGCAACAGCTAGTATCTCCCCGCAATACCTCTTTGCCTTCCAGATTCCGAATGAAATGTCACCTTTGCCCCAACCACATTGAGATGCAGACGGACCCTGCCAGCTGTGACTATGTCATTGTCAGCGGTGCTCGGCGCAAGGAAGAACGCTGGGATGTGGAAGCCAATGAGCAGGTAGTAGCCACAGGTGAGCCTCGGGAGCAGGGTGTCTCCCGCTGTTGAGGCCTTGAGGCTCCTTTGTCCCCATCTCATGTGTGTGCCTGCTTTGCAGCCCATGAGGAAAAGCAGAAGCTGGAGACAGATGCCATGTACCGGCTTGAGCATGGCTCCAAGGATCAGAGCAAGCTTCAGCGAGCCCTTCCCACCCTGCAGAACATCCAGGAGGCCCAGAGTGCCTGGAAGGATGACTTTGCGCTCAACAGCCTCCTTCGCCAAAAATTCAGGGTAAGTAGGCAGGAAGGCAAGGAGGAAGATTTCGTTTCACAGCACTGGAATCCACTTGTCCATGACCCTGGGCAAATGAGGACAGAATAGATTTTTAAGTCAATTCCTAATAAGTTAAATTTTAAAAATATTGGTTTGTTAACCACTTAAATAGTGAATTAGCCACCTGCTTTTGAACCAAACCACTGATTATATTCAAATTAGATAAAAGTACATGAGGTTAACCCTCCACTTTTTGAGAGGTTTAATAATAAAAAGTTACCAGTGCTTGGTAATACTTTTATCTTCTTTTTCTGTTATGGCTACATACCAGAACCAGAAAGAACTATAATACATGAATGTGTGCAAGCCTGCCAATTAAAGCTTCCCAATCAATTAATTGAATAAAGTGGAATTATCCAGTAATCCTCAACTCTTCCAGATTGCAAAACCCAGCTTTTATGGTTTTATTCTGTATTTGGGTATTACTTGGATTTTTTTTCTGTAACTCTCATCTTTTTCATTCTCTCCCTTCCCCCCCCCTTCATATTGTCCTATTCCAATGCATTTCCTCTGGTTTCCTTTTGAAATCCCAAAAAACAAAATGTGGGTTATGCTGTTGGATACAATACACCTTCAGCTGAAGCATGGATGAATGAAGAACCATAGAATTATAGAATACTAGAGTTGGAAGGGGCCAAGAAGGTCACTGGGTCCAACCCCCTCTGTTGCAGGATGTCAGTTTATGCCATCCTACTCAGCTGACTGTCCAGTTTCACCTTGACTGTCTCTAGTGTGGGAGAGCCCACAACCTCTCTAGGCAGCTGGTTTCACTGTCGTATTGCTCTGACAGTTAGGAAACTTTTCACCTGAGTCTGGTTTGTCACAGCTTGAGGTGATTATTTCATGTCCTACACTCTGGTATGCGTGAAAAGAGATCTTGATCTTCCTCTTTGTGACAGCCTTTCAAGTACTTACAGAGGGATATCACATCCCCCTTCAGTCTTCTCTTTTTAAGGCTGAATATGCCCAGTTCTCTCAATCTCTCCTCATAGGGCAGTACTTCCAAACCCTGGATCAATTTTGTTTCCTTCCTCTGGACCCTCCAGTTTTTCTTCATCTTTCTTAAATCTTGGTGCCCAGAACTGGACACAGTATTCTAGATGAGGACGGACTAGTGAAGAGAATAGGGAAACTATTACTTCTCATGATTTAGAAGAAACACTTTCAGTAACACATCCCAAAATAGCATTTCCCTCTTTGCAGCTGCATCACATTGTTGGCTCATATTTAGCCTGTTGACCACAATAACTCCAAAGTCTTTTTCTGTTCTGTTGAGCTATGTATTCTTTTATCAATGCATTTGGTTTCTCTTTCCTAGGTGAAGGACTTGGCATTTGTCCCTATTTAAGCTCATTCTGTTCCTTTCAGCCCAGTGTTCAAGCTTATCTAGATCACCCTGGATCTTCATTCTGTCTTCTGGGGTCTTGACTATTCCATCCAGCTTTGTATCAACTGCAAATTTGATTATCATTCCCTGCCCTTCCTCCAATTAAATACATTGAAGAGCACTGTGCCTAGGACTGAACCCTATGGCACCCCACTAGTTACCTTCCTCCAGTTTGAGAGGGTGCTGTTGATGAGCTAAATTTGGGTCCAATTTAACAACCAGTTTTGGATCCACCTAATAGTTTTTCTATCAAGTCCACTTTTTGGTAGTTTCCTTATCAGGATGTCATGAGGCTGTATATTGAAAGCTTTGCTAAAATCAAGGCAGTTTATGTCCACACTGTTTCAGCTGTCCATCTGGGAGGCTACCCAGTCAAAACAATAGTATAGATTAGTCTGACAGGATTTCTTCTTGATAAATTTATGTTGGCTTTTACTAATTACTGCATTTTCTTCAAGGTGCTTGCAGACAGTTTTTTTAAATCATAGAATAGTAGAGTTGGAAAGGGCTGTGAAGACAATAGGTCCAACCCTCTGATGTTGCAGGACACCAAGTGACACCATCCCACTCAGATGGCTGTCCAGTTTCTTTTTGAATGTCTCTAGTGTGGGAGAGCCCACCACCTCTCTAGGCAGCTGGTTCCACAACCTAACAACTTCCTGTACATGCACTTTTTTTCTTTCAGGCTGTCACTTAACTTTTTGTGGAGCCATGTGGGCTTCCTCTGCTGTCTTCTATACTTTTTTTTTGATGGAGTTGTTTGTAGTTGTGCTTGGAGAATCTTTTTTTTCAAGATTCCCACCCCCTTGGATGCCTTTCCCCTTAAGGGTGTGTTGCCATGGCACTTTGCTTATCATTTTTCTGAGTTCATTAAAGTTGGCTTTCTTGAAGTCCAGGATGCTTCTCTGGCTCCAGTTACACTTTGTCTCCTTTATAATTGAGAATTCAAGTATTGCATGGTCCCTTTCCCCCAGAGTTCCCATGGTTGTTGTTTTGTTCACCAGGCCATACCTGTTAGTATTAAATCGAGGATAGCTGATCTTCTCATACCTTCCTCTCCTTTCTGCTGGAGAAAGTTGTTGGCAACACATGCCAGGAATCTCTTGGAGGGGCCATGCTTAGCAGAACTTGTCTCCCAGCATATATCAGGGAAATTGAAGTCCTCCATGATGACTACATCATTCGTGGAAATGCTGGCAAGTTGCTTTTTGAATGTTGCATCCTTGTCCTCTTTTTGACTAGGTGGATGGTAATATGTGCCAATAACTATGTATTTCTTATTTTTTGCTTCCTTTAAATTTAGCCAGATGCTTTCAATGGGGCTACTAAGTTCCCTTTCTTGTATTTCTGTGCAGATATGTCTCTTTCATGTAGTGCAGCTCCACCTCCCTTTTTGTCCTTTCTATTTTAACTTGAACAGGTTGTATCCATCAATTGTAGAGTTCCAGTCATATGTGTGATCCCATCAAGTTTCAGTTATTCCTATAAGATCTTAATTGCCTTCATGTAACATGAGCTCAAGTTCATGTTGCTTGTTTCCCATACTCTGGGCATTGGTGTAGAGACATCCAAGTTCATTCTCCCTGTGTCCTGGTTTTCTTCCTATGTTTTTTGGGAGACTGGTGTTGGGCCTTGCTTAAGGTTCTTCTCTGTTGAAATACATACGTCTTTGCCAGGTGATGGTATGCCTTGCTGCACATCTCCCTCTCCTATAGGTTTTAGTTTAAAGCTCTCCTGATGAAGTTTTTCATGTAGTGGCCCAACATCTGCTTCCCATTCTGTGTGAGGTGCAACCCATCATTCGCCAATAGTCCATCTTCCAGGAAGCTTAGCTTCTGGTCCCAGAGTCCAAATCTCTCTTTACAGCACCACGGTTGTAGCAAGTCATTCAACTGAAGGATTTTTCTTTCCTTAACAGTCTCCTAATCCTACCAGTACTTGGAAGAGGGACTATCTGGGCCCCAGTTTTTTTTATTTTCCTCCCTAGAACTTCAAAAATAATTTACTCCAGAATTTTTCCAGGGATTGATGTCAGACTAACTGGCCTAGAGTTCCAAGGTTCATCCTTTTTTCCCCTTTTCTGAAGATGGGTACAAAGTTAGCCCTTCTCTAGTCATCTGGTACTTCTCCTGTTTTTCATGATGTATTAAGGAATAGTTCAAGAGTAATGCAGTTGTGTTGATATAGACTAAGATTGATACCCATTTATCTGCGAATAGGTCCTATTGAACTTAATAGGTCTTATTTCTGAGGAGGTATCCACATTATATATACAGTAGAGGTGACAAATAGATTTAAGGAATTAGATCTGATAGACAGAGTGCCTGAAGAACTATGGATAGAAGTTCACAACATTGTACAAGAGGTAGCTCCTAAAACCATCCCAAAGAAAAAGAAATGCAAGAAAGCAAAATGGCTGTCTGAGGAAGCTTTACAAATAGCTGAGGAAGGAAGGGAAGTGAAAGGCAAGGGAGAAAGGGAAATATCACCCAATTGAATGTAGAATTCCAGAGAATAGCTAGAAGAGATAAGAATGCCTTCTTCAATGAACAGTGCAAAGAAATAGAGGGAAACAATAGAATGGAAAACACTAGAGATCTCTTCAAAAAATTGGAGATATCAAGGGAATGTTTCATACAAAGATGGACATGATAAAGGACTGAAATGACAGGGACATTAACAGAGGCAGAAGAGATTAAGAAGAGGTGGCAAGATTACACAGAGGAACTATACAAGGAAGAGCTTAACGTCCCTGATAACCACGATGGGGTGGTCACTGACCTTGAGCCAGACATCCTGGAATGTGAAGTCAAATGGGCCTTAGGAAGTCTGAGCAACAACAAAGCTAATGGAGGTGACAGTATTCCAGCTGAGCTATTCAAAATCTTAAAAGACGATGCAGTAAAAGTGCTACACTCAATATGCCAGCAAACTTGGAAAACTCCACAGTGGCCACAGGATTGGAAAAGGTCAGTTTACATTCCGATCCCAAAGAAGGGCAATGCCAAAGAATGTTTGAACTACCGCACCATTGCACTCAATTCACATGCTAGCAAAGTTATGCTCAAAATCCTACAAGCCAGGCTCCAGCAGTATGTGGACCGAGAACTACCAGAAGTACAGGCAGGGTTTTGAAGAGGGAGAGGAACTAGAGATCAAATTGCCAACATACGCCGGATCATGGCGAAAGCTAGGGAGTTCCAGAAAAACATCTGCTTCATTGACTATGCTAAAGCCTTTGATTGTGTGGATCACAATAAATTGTGGCAAGTTCTTAAAGAGATGGGAGTACCAGACCATCTTATTTGTCTCATGAGAAACCTATATGCAGGTCAAGAAACAACAGTGAGAACTGGACACAGAACCACTGATTGGTTCAAAATTGAGAAAAGAGTTCAGCAAAGCTGTATACTGTCGCCCTGCCTATTTAACTAATATGCAGAGCACATCATGCAAAAGGCGGGGCTAGATGAATCACCAGCTGGAATTAAGATTGCTGGGAGAAATATCAACAACCTCAGATATGCAGATGACACCACTCTAATGGCAGAAAGTGAAGAGGAACTAAAGAGTCTCTTGATGCGGGTGAAGGAGGAGAGCGCAAAAGTTGGCTTGAAACTCAACATTAAGAAAACTAAGATCATGGCATCCGGTCCTCTCACTTCCTGGCAAATAGATGGGGAAGAAATGGAGGTAGTGACAGATTTTATCTTCCTGGGCTCGAAGATCATTGCAGACAGGGACTGCAGCCAAGAAATTAAAAGATGCTTGCTCCTGGGGAGGAAAGTTATGGCAAATCTAGACAGCATACTAAAAAGCAGAGACATCACCCTGCCAACAAAAGTGCGTATAGTCAAGGCTATGGATTTCCCAGTTGCAATGTATGGCTGTGAAAGCTGGACCATAAGGAAGGCTGAGTGCAGAAGAATTGAGGCCTTTGAATTGTGGTGCTGGAGAAAACTCCTGCGAGTCCCTTGGACTGCAAGATCAAACAGTCAGTCCTAGAGGAGAACAACCCTGACTGCTCTTTAGAAGGCCAGATAGTGAAGATGAAACTCAAATACTTTGGCCACCTAATGAGAAGGAAGGACTCCTTGGAGAAGAGCCTAATGCTGGGAACAACTGATGGGAAAAGAAGAAGGGGACGGCAGAGAATGGGGTGGCTTGATGGAGTCACTGAAGCAGTCGGCGTGAGCTTAAGTGGACTCCGGGGGATGGTGGAGGACAGAAAGGCCTGGAGGAATGTTGTCCATGGGGTCGCAATGCGTCTGACACAATTTCGCGACTAACAACAACAATCCACTGTATTTCAGTAAAACTCAGTTTTGCAGCTAGATCCATTTAAATTGAATGTTAGCCCTTGAATGTTTTTACTAGTCTACATTCTACAGATTTATCTTAGTTTTTTGTAAGTATTATGCAATCTTTGATCTTTGGTGGGTTTCTTTTTCCTATGCTTCTCAATGAAAGCAACTTCAAGTCCAACAGGAGTAGGCATAATAAGAATTATTCAATAAATAAATATAATGGGTGGTCTAGAGAGAACCAACTTTTATACAGCCTCCCTGCTAGGTGTCCTGGAAGTGACATTTTATTAACTATAGGCAACCAGGCAAAGGCAAGAAACTACTGTTAAACTACTTGGATTAAGAGCTGCTGTATCATTTTTCTTATTTTTTAATTATTGTATTTATTATTATGTAAAGAACTCAAGGCAACTTCCATAGACCTCTTTTCCATGTTATCCGTACAATAACCCTGTGAGGTAGATTAAGTTTCCACAGGACAAGTGGACACTGCACAGGTGCTCAAAAGAAATGTGATGCTTCCTGCTGACTTGTATTCTTGGCCTGCTTGTTTTGTTCCTGCTCATTCTCCTCTGGCTCAGGCAGTACCCATTTGGACTGTGTTTTTTGTCTCCTTTCCCATCCCATAGGAAGAGAAGAAAATTCTGCAAGAGGAAGAGGAGAAGGATCTCGCCTTGCAGACAAAAGCAAACCTAAGCATCCCACTTGTGCGAGAGTCTGATGAGGACCGACACCTGGCTGCACTTCTGAAGTATCAGACCCTTGGCTGTATGTGCAGGTTTCACTTGCACATTTTGGAGGGGATTTTGGAGGGGTGGGGTGGAGGCAAGAGCTTTTCCAGATGGTGCTATGATGTATGTAAAGATCCAGCAATTAAGTTGGCAGCACAAATAGAGGTGCCCTCCTGTCCAAGTCAGCATTCAAAGGGAAGCAGGGATACCTGTTTTTTTATTTTATTTATTTTATTAAAACATTTTTATGCCGCCCCATTATGCCGAAGCCTCCCCCTTGTGTCTCTACTAGGCATGCATTGTTAAAGTTATATATTTGATAATGAGCATCCCTCCCCTACCAGTAACCTCATGCAAATGACCCCATAGAGCTCCAGGTGCTGCTGGGAAAAGGGCCGTATGCACTTTTTTTCTGACACTTTGCTGATGGATCCCTTTGGTCTCTTTTGAAAACCAATAGCTGAAGGCACCCACAGAATGCAAGGATATGCTATTCATTTTAAGGAAGTATATACTAATGCAGAGTGTTTTGTTTCCAAGCAGTGATACCATGCATGTACAGTGGTACCTTGGCTTATGAACTTAATCCATTCCACAACTCTGGTCGTGACCCAAGTCAAATTTCCCCATAAGGTTCAATGTAAATAAGTTTAATCTGTTCTGTAACCATTTTTTAAATCACAAAAATTTGAAACAAAGTGATAGAGAACAACAAAGTAACAGAACAACAAAGATCATGCCCATGATCCCTGCTCGAGCGCGACTGCGGCCATCTCCCCCGGCAAGCACAACCGTGATCGCACCCATCTTCCCTGCACGAGCGTGACATCCCCACCCCGCCAAGTACAACCGTGATCATACCCGTGCAGGCAAGATGAGCACGATTGCAATCATCACCTGATACAGAGTTCATGACCTGAGGCAAAATGTTTCTGAAATTTCTGTTCCCGACCCGATTTGGTTGTGAGCTGAAGCGTTTCCGAGCCGAGGTACCACTGTACTCCTTTGAATTGACATATTTTACATACCCAGAGCTTGTCTTGTCTCCATTTCCACTGTACTCCAAATCAGTCGGAGAATCTCTGGGCTGTAAGCCTCAGTGCATAATACTGTTCACATAGAGAAGATTCTGACCTTGTTCTCCAGACCTACTTTAAGGTGCTGTTATTGCACCAAATTATCTATGCCCAAAGATTCCTTATAGTGTTGTAGAGGATACTGGGGTGCAAGTATTCTCAGCTTAGAGCTTTAGATACAGAACATCCCTGGATCAATGTTCTCCTGGCATTTCCAATTAAAAGGGTTTAGATAGAAAGTGATGTGAAAGGACCCTGCCAGGGAGCCTGGAGCACCTTTGTTTGTCAGAGAAGACTGGGCTGGGCAACTTAATGGCCCTCCGTGATTTCTCAACGGTGACACTGCTGCCTGCCATTGGAGTAGGCAATAATTGGGCTTGATGGACTGATAAAGGCAGCTGTATATGTTCTGTTTGCATTCTTTGTTCCTGTTGTACACAGTCTCTTTCTCAGTCACCACAACCCACCCCCTCTTTCCCTCCAGCCTATGAAGACAAACAGAAGCAAAAGCGCAGTGAGATTGTTGAGCGCCCGTGGTTCTCATCTGCTCCAGTCTTAAGCACCAAAGCCAATGACACTCTGAAAAAGATGGGTTTTGTTGGAAGATGTCCAGCGGGCAAGTCACCTGTAGCTATGGACAACCTAGGGGTTGTGCGCCGGAAATTCAAGGATAAGGAGCAAGCCTCCACTGAGGAGGAGCCTAGTTTGCTGGGTCCCACAGCACAAGTGAAGATTCAGGAGCAGGACAGGGTGGCAAGTGCAGTGACCACTGACTCTCCCACAGGGCCTGCTACAGGCTCACAAGAAGCCCAAAGAAGCCACCCATCCAGTGTTGCTACTTCTCTGGTTGCAGATTATTCAGATTCTGCATCTGATCCTGAAGCTGAACTATGAACAGAGCTTTGTGGCTCCAAAGGGAAAAAGAACGAAAAGAAAAAGAGCAGAGCTGGTGTCCTGATTGCAGTACTTTTCAACCAAGCAGTTGCTACACCAGCCAGTTGGATGTCTGAACATGAGGATGAGTTTATCCTCTTGGAAGTTACGTTTTGCTGCCATTTCTTGGTTTGCGTGCACCTCTGCAACTAGTTATTTAAGCAAGATCCTTTCCTTGTTTTGTCCAAAAGAATATAAAATAAACACAGCTGTCCCTATGTGGCGTGGTTTGTTCTGCCAAGAATATGGCAGTGGCACATGTCCTAATGCTAGCAAGCCTGGGCTTATGGGGAAAAGAAAAAAGTAGAAATCAGCAACAGACAACCTAGACAATCTCGAGCCTTCAGTCAGTAAACCCACATTTTGAAACAAGAGGAAACATTCTTTCATTGATTTGTATTTCACCTTTCTACCAAAAGCTGGCACTTAAGGAAGAACTGATTGAAGGAACAGTGTATGTTTAGCCCAAGAAGGCTAAGCTGGAGTAGTTTTCAGGGATTAAAAGGCTGTCATACAGGAGTGAACTGCAGCCCATTCTCTGTTGTTCAAGACCGTAGGATGCAAAATAAAGGGTTAAAGTTACAGGAAGGCAGATTTTGGTTAGGAAAAACTTCTTCATGGTCAGATCAGTAGACAATGAAACTAATTTCCTGGGATAGTAGTAGGCTCTCTGTCATTCAAGTTATTCAACTGCTAGCCTAAATGGCCCTTTCTGGCTTTACCATTCTAATTTGCTGTTTGTTAAGGATAGGTTTCCACTGCATTTTCAGGAATGGGGAATTGGTCAAACATAACCTGGCCATAACATTATGGGATGTGCTCGCATTTTTTTTTATTTGAATATGGCATTTCATTTTATTTCTATTCCGCCATACAACCAAAGCTCCAATGCATACATTGGAAAGGGAGCAGCATCCTGACTTTGCCACAAAATTAATTTTTATTCCGAAGTCTAATCTTAGACTTGTAGCTTTAATTCCAAAGTCTAGTGGACCAGAAACATGTCCCTTGGTTTTGCTTGAAATGTGAAAGCTAGTGTTGAACTGGGGACCTGGGAGATCCAGCTTCTAGTCTCCACTCCACCGTGAAGCTCATTGGTTGACTTTGGGCCAGTCATGGGCTCTCAAACTAACCCACCTGACGGGGTGGTGGTTGTGAGGATAAATGGAGCAATGGCCACCTTGTATTTTCCACAAGTGGCAAAAAGATGGGATATAAATGCAATGTGGTGATGGTGGTAAGGCCATTCTTCATAGTGCATAAGATGACCACAGCCATGTGGATTCCAAATACATTATTTGCTCTGCCTCTCATATCATAATGCTGTGAACAGATATGAAATCCATAGACATGGGGCTGTGTTCCATAAAATCAACAATTTGGTTCTTATTAGTCCAAACTGAGGCTAGGGCAAAAGCACACTGAATTTATTGTTACTGAACCTGATCACTGAACGTGCCGAGACTGGTTTTGTTTAATTCCGTCCTACCCTATCCTGAAGTCACAACAGATTAAAAGAGCAAATGATTTTATTACAGCTAGCATAATTCAGATTAACACAAAAACAATGCAACACACATACATGCACACACCTCTCTCTTGTGATTTAATCTGAGTCTATTCTCCAAAGTTTGTTCATAGAAGCATAAAATAGTAGAGTTGGAAGGGGCCAGAATGCCATCGGGTCAAATCCTCTGCTTAGAGCAGGACTCCAGGGTAAATCATCCCCCTCAGATGGCTGACCAGTTGCATCTTGAATGCCTCTAGTGTGGGAGAGCCCACAACCTCCCTAAGTCATTAGTTCCATTGTCATAGTGCTCATACTGCTTTAAATTATTTCTGATATCTTGCCAGAATCTGGCTTCCTGTAACTTAAGCCCATTATCCATATCCTGCACTGTGAGATGATCAAGATCCTGTTCTCTGTCTTGGACAGCCTTTCAAATACTTGTAGAGTGCTATCATATCTCTGCTCAGTTTTTTCTTCTCAAGGCTAAACATACTCAGTTCTTTCCATCTCTCCTCATAGGGTTTTGTTTCTGATCCCTCGACCATCCTTGCTGCCCTCCTCTGAACCCTTTCCAGCTTCTCTGCATCTTTTTAAAATGGTGATACCAAAACTGGATACAGTACTCCAGGTGAAGCCTAAGTGGAGAGGAACTGAGTAGAGAGGAACCAGTAGTTCACGTTTTGCATTAATGCAGTCCAAAATAGCCCTTGTCCTTTCTGTAGCAACATCACACTGTTGGCTCATATTCAGCCTGTGATCTACCACAATGCCAAGATCCTCCTTGCTTGCAGTATTACTGAGCCAAGTTTCCTCCATCTTGTAATTATGCATTAGGTATCTTTCCTAGATATAGAACTTGGCATTTTTTCCTACTGGATTTTAGAATATAAGAAAAGCCGTGCTACCTCAAACCAAGATCCATCTAGTCCAGCATTCTGTTCACAGAGTGGTCAACTAGCCTCCCAGAGGATCCCATGTGCAGGTTGCGAGTGCAACAGCACCCTCCTGCCTACATTTTCCAACAACTGGTAAAGAGGAGCATAGAGCCATCAGGCCATGAGATCCCCTGTCCACCACCACACAAAGAAGGAGTGGTACCAGCTTTTTTAAAGGGGACTGTGATTGGACCATTAAAAGAAACATCTTGGACCCAGAGGTTGTGCATAATTATCGACTGGTTGCAAGGTGTTAGAGTGGATGTGGCTGAGCAGCTCCAGGTGCTTCTGGACAAAATAGATTATCTAGATCCATTTCAATCCAGTTTCAGGCCTCGCCCGGGAAGAGAAACTGTCTTGATCACCCTGTGGAATGACCTTTGTCAGAAGAAGAGGTGGGGGAGTGCAACCCTGTTGGTTCTCCTGGACCTCTCAGCAGCTTTCAATACCATTGACCAGGTATCCTTCTGGATAGGCTGGAGGGGTTGGGAGTTGGAGGCACTGCTCTGTGGTGGTTCTGCTCCTACCTGAATGGCCAATTCCAGGTGGTGGTGCTAGGGGATTATGGCTCTGCACCATGGAGACCCGCGGGGCTGTATTTTATCACCCATGCTCTTTAACAATTACATGAAACCACTGGGACAGGTCATCTGAACTGTCACCAACACTCAGCTGTGCACCTCTTTTTCATCAGATCCAGGTGAGGCAGTGACTCTTCTGACTGCCTGGGCCTAGTAATGGACTGGATGAGAGCCAATAACCTGCAACTCAATCCAGACAAGATGGAGGGACTGTTGGTAAGTGGTTCATCTGTTCATTTGGGAAACATTTAATCTGCCCTGAACAGGGTTCCACTTCCACTAAAGGATGTGGTTCATAGGTTGGAGGTGCTTCTAGATGCTAAAGGGTCACTGGAGTCTCAGGTGGGCTTGGTGACTAGGAGCACCTTCTATCAGCTCAGGCTGATTTACCAACTGCAAGCCCATCAGGACAGGCAGAGCCTGGCAACAGTGACCTCTTGTTTGGACTATTGTAACATGATCTACATGAAAATGGTCCAGAGACTTCACCTTGCTCAAAATAGAGCAGCAAGGCTGCTAATGGGGACTGGCTGACATGAACATATCACACCAGTCCTCTATCAATTACACTGGTTACCAAGTAAAGTCTGGGCCTGATTCAAAGTGCTAACATGGACATGTTTTGGGGCCAGGCTATTTGAAGGAACACCTCGCCTCCATTCTTATGTGCCTACCTGAACCCTAAGAGCATCAGTGGAGGACCTTTTCAGAATGCTCCCTCCAAAGGAAGCAAGGAAGGTGGCTACTAGGGAAAGGGCCTTCTCGGTTATAGCACCCTATTTGTGGGATCAGCTCCCCAAAGAGGTGTGCCTGTTGTCCACTCTCTGTTTCTTCTGGTGCCAGTGAAAACCTTTTTATCTACCCAATATTTGAACAGATATATTTTTATCTTTATTTTTACCATATTTTACTGTACCTCTGAGTGAAATTCAGTTGTGATGGAGGGATTATTGTACTATTGCCTTACCCTATCATGGTATTTATTAATTGTATTGCTATGCTCTTATTGTGTGTGTTTGATATTATATTTTCAATTTTGTAAACTGCCCAGGAAGTCTTTGAGCTGATGGGTGGCAAAGAAATATAATAAATGTTTTTGCCTTAATGTGCATGACTTCACACTTGCTTACAATGAACTTCGATGCTTTTTCCCAGTTCAGACTGATCCTTTTGGAACTCTTCACAATCCTTTTTGTTTTAACCACCGTAAAGAGTTTGGCGTCAACACCAAACCTGGCCACTTCACTGCTTACTCTTAATATCCAGATCATTTATGAATCGATTGAAAAACATTCATCCTGTGGGACCCCACTGATTCCCATTCTCTGCTTTCTATTCTTTAACCATAAGAGGGCCGCCCCTCTTATTCCGTGACGGCTAACTTTGATCAGGAGTTTTTGGCGGAAGACCTTGTCAAAGTAACGTCTACTGGAACATCCCTGCCCAGATGTTGACTGACACTCTCAAAAAGACTCCCGCCCTTCCTTATCCCCACCCCCAGCCTCGCAGCACTGCCTTTGCCCTCCCTGCCCCGTCCCAAAGGAGCCCGCTGTCTCTCAGAGCGTGCGCTCGCTCGGCTCCTGCTTGCCGCGTAGGATTTGCCGCCGCCGCCGCCGCCCACCCCAGCACCGCCTCTCGCAGTTCCGGTGGCGGCCCTTGTTTGTGCCGCAGGCTTCGGAGAGCAACGCGCTCGCTCTGCGCTTGGCGCCTGCTCGCAGCTTGTGGCGGAGTGCGCCCGCGTGCCGGACGGCCGAGGACCGGCAGGCAGACAGACAGACTGACAGACAGACACACGAGGCGGCTCGATGGCCCAAGGGAAGCGGAAGTTCCAGGCGCGCAAGCCGGCCGCCTCCGCGGGCAAGAAAACGGCGGGCGCCCGGGGGCCGCGTAAGGGAGGTACGGCGCGGAAAGGGTGCGGGGCTGATTCGCAACGAAAAGATAGCCGCGCGCCTTTCCTCCAGTTCTGAGGGGAGAGGATTCTGTGCGTGCTTGGAGCTCTGCTGCTTGCTCATGTGGCCGATCTCGTTTCTGCATTGGAAATTTGGTCACATGGGAACCAAAAGGAATTTATCTGCTGTGTGTTGGTTTCCTCCTGCAGGACGCATCATTGCTCCCAAGAAGGCGCGTGTGATCCATCAGCAGAAACTGAAGAAAGTAAGCTGTTTTCTCGTCCACCATGGCAAATACTTTCAGGAGCAACTCCAAAGCCCTACTTTTTACCTTAGCTGAAGCCAGGCATAAGTGCCTTTAGTGGTGCAGCGTGCATTTTAACAGCTGAACCTCGCAAACCCCCTGTGGCTTCCCTTGGGCAGGGATAGTCTGGCCAGTTTTCCATGCCTTGTTAACCTCTGTTGAAATACTTTTGCACATGAGGCAGCTCTTGAAAACTGATCAAAAACTATACCTAGTACACAGTTGGGCTGTGAGGATTGTAACTGCCACAGTGTATTGTGAAGGTATCTTGCCAATATTGAAAGTACTTCACTGGCTGGCAGATTGGAACAGAGTGAGTAGCAGGCTAAAGCTGAGAGCTCCCAGTTACCATTGAAGGAACAGGCAAGAAGCACATATGCCTGGCCTCAGTAGCCGTCTTGCCATGGGAATCCTGTGAGGTCCCCTGTGGTTGACATTTTTCTTTCCCTTCTTTATAAAACCATTTCATAATCAGGGGAAGAGTAAGTACTTTACATAGCACATGCTTAAACTATGGAATTCTTTACCACAAGATGTAGAGATACCCTCCAATCCGGATGCCTTTAAAGGGAGTCTGGACAAATTCATAAAGAAGAATGCTTTTGAGGACTGCCAGTCCTGACTGTGCAACCTCCAGTATCAGAGGCAGTATCCTATGTGTAGCAGTGACTGAAGGGAGGGGTGCTGTGGCAATCTTATCCTGTGTCTGGTTTCCCATGGGCAGCAGTTAGCTACAGGGTGGACTGGATTACACCCCTAGTTTGATCTAGTGTGCCTCCTCATACTGATAGAAGGATTAGAGTGAAGGAAGAGTCGTGTGCAGTCCTGGTGTTTCAAGATCACCAGCAGCAGAAAAATGGCAATCTTGAAGGGGGCCACTGTAGTGGCGGGAGAGGTTTGAGGTTCCTTATCCAGCAGTCCCATCTTGGTTGGGAAGGAGGAGAAAGCTCCCCTTCCCCGCCCACTGAGATAGAGTGTGTGTGTGTGTGTGCGCGCGCGCGCATGCACACATGTATACACATGTGTATACAGCCCCCTAATCACCACTACATGTGGCCCTCACAGCACAAAAGGTTAACTGTTCCTGTTCTAACCAGATAAAATTATTATTGTTATACTGTTCCACGACTTCAGTAAGGGACAGTTTTAAAAAGTTATAAATAGAGAAATAAATAAAATTCTAAATCCACCCTACCCTCCTGCATGCAAGTTGCACTAGTACACTTGATAACTGGAATATTTCAGGTACATACCTTTTGGATTATCATCTTGTGATTCATAAACTCAGATGTGTTCTGTTTCCACAGAACCTGGAGGTCACCATCCGTAAGAAGATTGAGCACGAGGTGGTGATGAAGGCCAGTGCTAAGCTACCCAAGAAGCTGAGTGTGCTGAAGGCCCCAAAAGCAGAAGCCTCAAAAGAGCCCAACCATTCCAGCAAGTCTTAGTTATGACTTTGGATGTAGGCTTTCTGGAAACCTTATCCATCACACTCATTTTGTCAGGGTTGGATGGGCCTGTAGATTGCTAAAGGTGGTATTTCAATTGGGGAAGAATAAGAGTTTTCTTTCAAACAAGAACCCATGTTCTGTGTCTGGTACTTTTTCCCCAGGTTAGGAGAGGGGCTTTAGTTTTTATCTCTACCTTATGTGTTACTTAGGGAAGGCTGAATAGTTTTCCTGCCTTATATATGGATTTGTCCTAGCATTAATGACTTCAGTGGCAGTCACTCTCTTAGGAACCTTAAGTTGGACTGGACAGAGTCTGCAGCAGCTATTGGCATAGTTGCCTTCATTAACCTGGTTCTGCGGAAGCACCAGATTAACAGAATCAGACTAGAGTTCAAAATCTCATGGAGTAGGGGATCTGGGCATAATGCATACATGTACAAACATCATGTCCCTACGCCTGATCTTTGCATGCTGGACTTCATGTACGCATAAGGGCCTATGAACAACCCACTTTGGCCTTTCTATGGAATCTGATAAATCTGCAGGTTGGGCCCTGGATGTATGGATGATTTTAGGCAAACATGGAACCCAGCATGTGTACATCAGATAGGTGTCAAAAGGCTAGCATGATCCCAATCCACCGCTTATATATGAAGGCCTTGTAAAGACTTGACCCGACCTGGCCATCACCTGCGGTGTAGAGATGGCAGCCCAGGCCATTAAATCAGGAAACCAGCCTGATTTAATCACATGCATGTTTGTGAATTCTCTAGAGCAAAGGATCCTGTTGCTACTCTCCAGTTATATGGAGAGTGTTGGTTTGCTTGGAGTCCTGCACTGAGCGGGATGTTGGACCCAATGGCCCTCTGGCCCCTTCTAACTCTGCTACTTCTCATCAGTATAAAGGGCTGGCAACAACTTAGCACCTGGTATAATATGCCTGTTATAAATCCTCAAAAACAAGATTCATTCATTACCATTGGATCCCAGAAAGTCTGGTGGCTTGCTCATGAAATTGGTTAAACTTTCCATACATTTTATCCTACAGCAAGGTATCCTGTGGAATAACCTCTGACTGAGGAATATATTCAGAACATCAATATCAAAATACCTGTTTTTAAATTAAGTTGTTCTTATAACCACTGTAAATGGTTTTGTTTTTTTTTTTTTGTTAAAAAGTGTCCTTATGCTGCTTTTAATAGATTTATTACCTATAAATAAATTCTTAACTTGTTAAATGTTTGGGGGGTTTCTAGGAGTTACAGTGATTATGCAACTTTACTGCATGTTTGAACAAATGAAAGAGGGGCTTGGAAATGCCCTAGAGTGATAGTCAGAACCCTGCTTGTGGCTCCCAGGGGTATTTGGTTGGCCATCCTGGGAAACAAGTTTCTGGGCTAGATAGGCCTTCAGTCTGATCCATCATGGGTCTGCTTATATTTTAAGGATGCAGTTTTAAGCATATTTAGAGAGCAAAATGTCCTACAACTCCCAGCATTCCACAACCATCCAGTTGTAAGATGTTTTGCTGTCTACATACACAGGGTTGTGCCCTAAGTAGCTTATGAATACACAGGGTGTGATCTTGCCATGCATAAAATGCAGATCTTGTTGGCAAAATATGCTGAATTGAACCTCCTTATTTGGATTAATTGTGACAAATCCTCCCCCCCCACACACACACTTTTTCTGCTTGCTTATTTTTGTTAGTATTTTTAACAAATACAATGAAGGGTTCCCAATTCCACCCAGCACTGCAGACTTTCTGCGGCCTTCCAATGAGTGTGAAGAGACACAGGCCTCCCCTACAGTTTGGAGCCAGCAGAAATGGTGAGGATCGTTGCCACAGCTGCGCTGTGCACCACAGGTGCTCAGTGCAAGTGCAGGAGCAATCCTGGTTTCAAGGGTGAGAGGAAGGCTGGGTTTGTCCTGGCTTTGGAGTCCGCTCCCCCTTGGACTGGTGCTGGTGCTGTGTGTTGCCGTGCAGCCCAGTCCCATGGACACTCCTCTTGCTGCCCAAGACCCAATCCTGGCCCGGAGGAAGAGAGCTGAGGATTTTACCTGAGCTTGCACAGCATTTCAGAGCAGCAAGGAAAGGCTGAGGACAAGATCCTGCTCCTTGGGTGAGGTGCAGGGTCTTGGCAAGTGCAAATTTTAGGTTGACCACTTCAAGTACCCAACATGTGAAGACCCTGCTGTAGCTGATGCAGTTGGCAGTAAATCAGTAATCAAAGCTGGGTGCGCTGCATGCTAAGAAAAATTAAAACTGCTCATGCATCTTACCAAGGAATGCTGAATGATGGGATCAGAATATATGCAAACAAAGCAAATTAGCTTAGTTTCCTATTTAGCATAATTCATTCTCCAGTGTTTCTATAATTTAATCTGGTTATACAGGTCTTTTCAGATAGCCAAGCAGCTGTGCCTGGATAGGTCATTTCCTTGTTCCCACTGAGAAGCTACTTCTTAGTATCCCCAGGGATAGACATGAAAGCTGCCCATCGAAATCAACAGAGAAAGCCCACATTTAATAAAGTTGTGATTGGTTGCTAGCATGTCATTTTCTCCCCCTACTATCATGGAGAAGAAAAGCAGGCTGATAACTTGAGTGTGCACAGCAGGCACAAAATGCTGACTGGATGGGGGTGGGGTGGGGTAGGGGAAGGGGTAGGGGAAGATTAATCCCAAACAGAAGCATGCAGGGATGCATCAGGGAACCTCTGCTTGAGAATCGCTAATGAAGCTACATTTCTGCATTGGGAGTAGCTGAATGCTCCCATCCTCTACAGAGGTGGGTTGGAATGACACATCCTGAGCAGGTGCCATTAGGAAAGAAGATAGGCCAGAGCAGTGGTTCTTACATGGGCGCACTGGACAGCATCTTGTGTGAATAATGATTTTGAGCTCAACCTGGCTGTTGAACTGTTCTAGTTCGTACGACACACTGGCCGTTTCCTGATGTGACCTGACACACGGTTTGGGTGTTCCTGCCCAAAGCCTTTGATGGCTGAACACTGGGAGACTTTCCTGTGATGACCAGGAGAGGTCACTGTTGGAGGCAGAATACTGGGTTTGGTAGGTCATTGCTCTAATAACACGTAGGCAAGCAATCCAGCCAGCGGTGTGATGCACCTCTTTGACAGGCGCTTGCACAGTGCTGCAGCTGGAGGGGGTGGGCCTGACAGCTTGTGCTGGTTCAGGCAAAAAGGGGTGTGCCCCCATTCCATTTTCAGCATTTCTCTCCAAATGGGATGGAAAATCACTACGTGAGGACTAGCAGTTTGTGTCCAATGTAGTCCAATCTGGAATAGATCTACTGCAGTTAATGGGATTTAAGTTAGATGACTGTTAGATGTAATTCACAGTTAGGGTCACTTGCTGAAGGTGTGGTGGAGGAAAGGTAAGGTCTGGATCCCGTGCACCTAAGGCCTCCCTGGTGCACCCTGACATGGCCCTAGATCAGCCCTTCTCCCCCCTGCCCCCATGCTGTGGATGCTCAGCAGCACCTCTGCAGTGTACTACAGCTTGCCATATGCCAGTCAGCAGAAGGCGCCAGCCTCCTTCAGCCTGGTGCCCTCCAGACATTTTGGACCAAAACTCCCAGTATTGTTGACTACTGGTAATGCTGACTGGAAGTGCAAAACATTTGGGACAGTGCTGGGTCAGAAAAGGCTGCTGTGGTCCCATATATGTTTACTCCAAAATAAGCCCCATTGAGTTCAATGTGACTTACTCCTAGGTAAGTCTATGCAAAGCTGAAGTCCTCAACTGTTTGGCTTAATTCAGGAAGACTCTTTAAGAGCTATGAACATTGATTCTATCAATTATCTGACGTACAGGGCACCAGGATGCTGACAATTCCCTTCTTTGGTGCTGTCTTCTGATTGGATTGCAAGTCCCATCCATGCTAGCCTGTATGCAAGTGCATCGCCTGCTGGCTGGGATTTGCAGGCCAACACATCTGAAAAGCACACAGGTTGGGGGAGGCTGTGGTAACCTTTTAGACTGAAGGTGGGGGTGATGCCATCTCTAAATGCTTCCTGCATGCAATAAACTAGCCTACTAAGGAAAGGTCCATGCTGAAGCATCTCCCTGATATGTTAGTTTTCTATAAGCAGGAAGGAGCTTGGTGCTAAAGTGCTTTTTAATGCAGGAGAGCATTCAACCTTACAAGAAGCCACACCTGCACAAGCTGAAGTGATACAGCTGTGTCATCTTCTCCCCATTCTGGCTCATATGTAGATCAGCTTCTGGAATGGCACATGCCTCATCTTCTCTGTTCTTCTCCACCCCCACACCAGCTCATTAACAAAGAAGCAATGGATTTCAAACAGGGCAGAAAGATGTCACTCTGGCACTGTACGAAAGACACCCACAAGCCTGAAGACTTTTATTAGGCTGCCTTTGGAAGAATGGGCCCAATCAAGTTTTCCTGCTGAAATGGCATCTTCCAGCTAGTTGGAATTTTCCTAAATGCCAGCACTTAAAATTCTCATGTGCTGAAGTACTATGCCTTCAATCATGTTAGCTTCATTCCTGTAACTGGGAACCGACTTGGTGCTTTGTTTTCATTAGCTTCCCCTTAGATGGGACCCCACTGAGCCAAGGGAAGGCAGCAGTGTCAAGCAAGCAAATTCTGGCTGTTGTGAAAAGTGGCAGAGGGTGAGACTCGTTCTGACCTGTGAGTCCCATCCCTGCAAATGTCTCCAGGGTGTGAAGCCCTCCAGAGATCTCTTGCACAGCTTTCATTCCTTTCAGTAAGCTTGTCGAGGAACACTTCCCGATGGGTTGTGCCCCACAATTAGGTTGTTTGCCTCAGGCTGTAATCCTAAACACATTTACTAGGGACTACTTGTCATTGAACACCATCAGATTTTTCTGTAAGATCATGGAATATCAGATTTGACAGATAATTGTATTGCTTCATGACTGCTGGACTTGTGCATATTCTGTCAATACAAATAATACATACCAAGTTCACACATGGAGCAGAAGTGGTTTTGAATGAAGTTTCTCTGAAAAAAACAATCTGTGAGGAATCCACAGAAGCTGCTCTACAACCTGGGCTATAGAAGAATTGAGAGAAAAAGATACATCAGGAATCAGTAAGTTTGGCTCACATACTGGGAGTGGCTGATACCTGTAAAAAGAGTGAAATTTCTGACCATTAACCATGATCTATGCATAGCTGGGAGTCCCTAGTCATCTCTACCAGAGCAGTGAACAAGGAGGTCTCTGGTTTGTATTTCGGCTTTTCCATTTCATTCTCCCAGTTGTACTATGGAAATGACAATACTGACCCACCTTGAGGTAAGGAAAAGGAAATATATGTTAAGTGCTATGCAAATGTATTCATTTATTTCTAAATGGGTAGCCACACAATTCCTCTGCAGAACAACAAAGAATCTTGTGGCATCCTTAAGACTGCCTGAGGAATGCTGTGAGTTGTACAATTTATGGCTACCTGAACATGCATAGGATTGTGCTTTTCTTAAGCCAAGCTTAAGTGTAGAACTCATATGGACTACTTGAGTTGTTCAGATGTTTGAATAAATTACCACAAGTTTTTCTGGGTTACAATCTACTTCATCAGATGGTAGAAATGAAAACTCATGCTAATTTATTTATATATCTGAACACTAAAACAGTTGCCTATATGTCAACTATGCTTAACTCTTGAATTCATTAAAAAAACCCTATGATACATGTATTCAGGCTTGAATTTTTCTGGATTAAAACTTCCTTTATCAAATGTGTGAAGCATCTTCCTAGGTCAGCAGGTATAGAAATACAGAAGGGTGTAAAGGAAGAAAAAAAGTAAGAAGTGAAGTCAGAGGGGGAAAGGAAGTGCAAAACGACTGACTGTTGCAATTACATCAAAGCTGACACATATTTAAAATCTTGGTGACTGTTCGCAAAGTGGTTTTGAAAATGGTGCCAACATCCTGGCATTAGTAAGCTAATCAACCCCTGTAGTGCAGGCCACAGGTGACCAGGACAGATCCGGACCTCTTGATGTATTATAATTCAGCAGTGTCACATGGAGCTCCCCTTTGAAGGTTCTTGGCTCCCCAGGGCCACTTTAAGGGCTGTCATGTCCTTGGTGGCTGAAGTGTTCTCCCACTGAGGTTTGCGTATTGCCATTTTAAATGTAAGATGGTGCCCATTTATTTGTTTGCTTAGGGACTGGCATGATTGTCTAACATCCAATGCAGAAGAGCACTGCTGGCAGATGGGAGTGT